ATGTGTACTTTTGTTTATTCTACCGTTATTGACGCGGCTATCGGTGTAGCAAGGCTAATAGCAGGTGGCTAACTCTAACTTCAGCTTGCATATTACATGGTGCTTCACCGTTAACTCGGCGTGACCGAGACCAGCACAGTGGGGAACATCGTGAAGTTGGTCGAACTGAAACTTGTTGACTTGTGTATTTCACAAACTGGTTTATTTACCGTTGAGGCGAGTTTTGGCCAGTTACCGATTAGTTCCAAATGGGCTAAAATTGGCCGATTTAATCAGCTCGCCGATAAATCGGTCGGGCCCTAATGCAGACGCATGATTAGAGGAACCAGACTCAACTATAGGACACAAAAGTTTAAGTGAAATCTCTTTTTTATATCATCCAGTTTATTTGAATCAGACACCGTAGGGGATCTCTGATGGCGAAGGCTGCCATATGCTAATTGTAGCTGTTAGCCAAAAAATAAGCTTGAGTTAGCATTGTTGGTATGAGCTTAAAAATTTGCATCAAGACACCAACAGCTAATTCGCTGGCTATGAAATGCCTAACTTTTGGATTTGTGAAATTCAATCATTTATTACCAGGTTATCAAAGAAGTTTTACTGCTTTATTTCGAATCAAAAAGCAATGATGACGTCTTTTTATGAAGTTGATTACAAAGACGAAGGACAAGTGAGGCCTCTTCTGATTCAAACATTTGCAAAAAAGTCTTCTGTCAGAACACGGCGTCTCTTCGCGGAGCACACAAAGCCTCAAGGATGTATCACAAGACTCAGCGAGATAAAATGAAAACTAGGAGTATCGAGAAGGAGAGACGTAATGGGAGAAGAAAAAAGGGGTTGAAAACTGAACAAAGGGTTAATAAAAAGTGCTGTCTTCATCGATTCGTGGAGTATTTTCTCCAGCATGATGTCTTCTGCGCTAAAGGTCAGATGAGAAAAAGATGAAAGTGCAACCAGGAACATCAACCTCAACTGATAGTGAGATGGTGAATTATTGATCCCAGGGATAAGGATGCAGAAAACAAGGGTGCATACAAGCCTGGATCATCACTGAGCCTATGTTCTCTTCATCTAGATATCAAAAATGGGCAGACATCTCACTTTATTGTTAACTAATCATTTTTACAAAGTAAGGCCATTTCATGCTTCTTTCAAGAGGGTGAATCATTTCAAAGTTCCAACTAATTTTCAGATGCTGTGGGAGAAAAGCATCCCACTTGTACTCTGAAAACCTTGAGTTAAAAAAAAAAAAAAAGATGTTAACTTATCAAAATGCTGCTTTGATGCTTGTTTTTCTGACACTTGAAAGAGACAAAAAGAGACGAGCGTCAATGGGGAAAAAAGGAGTCTTTTTTGTTCTCAAAAACACTGCAAATACTGTTTTTGACCATTCAGGTCAACTTTACAGTATGGATTCAGGAAAAGAACAACAGCTGGACTTAAAAGATGATAGATTTTCTTGGCAAAAGCTTTGGATGATGGTGGTTTGACATGAAGTGGCTTTTGAATATAGATTTTCCTCTAAACTAATTAAAACGGATGAACAATAGAGAATTTTGGCAGCTCAAATACAGTATTTATTCAGTATCTCAGGCTCCAAATATAGAAATTTAACTCTACGCTCTCCTACATGTGATCTTAGAGTGCAAATAAACAAGGAAACCCTAATGCCTATCCAAACCAAACCATCTTAAACTCAACCTGGCGCAAGCTGACACTGTCACCAAGCTCTCCATCATGCGCATGCTCAATAAATGCAAGGAAATGTTCACACTCAGGCAAGTTCAAACCAACTAAAGACTTTTTAAAATGTACTTTTTCAACTCTCATATCTGCTTACATAGACAGGAAACCGGTACTGCCATGTTCTCAGAAACCAGCTTAATCTCAACTTGGCAAGGTCCAGATACTTCGGACAAAGGCCGTCACCAAGCTCTCCATCATGCGCACTCTCAATACATGTAAAGAAATGTTCACACTCAGGCAAGTTCAAACCAACTAAAGACTTTTTAAATGGTACTTTTTCAACTCTCATATCTGCTAATGTAGACAGGACACCTATACTATCATGTCCTCAGAAACCAGCTTACTCTAAACTTGGCAAGGTCAAGATACTTCAGACAAAGGCCTTCAACAAGCTCTCCATCATGCGCACTCTCAATACATATAGGGAAACATTTACACTCAGGCATGTTGAAACCAACTTAGGACTTTTAAAAAGTACTTTTTTAACCCTTATATCTGCTAACATACACTCACCGGCCACTTTATTAGGTACACCTGTCCAACTGCTTGTTAACACTTAATTTCTAATCAGCCAATCACATGGCGGCAACTTAGTGCATTTAGGCATGTAGACATGGTCAAGACAATCTCCTGCAGTTCAAACCGAGCATCAGTATGGGGAAGAAAGGTGATTTGAGTGACTTTGAACGTGGCATGGTTGTTGGTGCCAGAAGGGCTGGTCTGAGTATTTCAGAAACTGCTGATCTACTGGGATTTTCACGCACAACCATCTCTAGGGTTTACAGAGAATGGTCCGAAAAAGAAAAAATATCCAGTGAGCGGCAGTTCTGTGGGCGGAAATGCCTTGTTGATGCCAGAGGTCAGAGGAGAATGGCCAGACTGGTTCGAGCTGATAGAAAGGCAACAGTGACTCAAATAACCACCCGTTACAACCAAGGTAGGCAGAAGAGCATCTCTGAACACACAGTACGTCAAACTTTGAGGCAGATGGGCTACAGCAGCAGACTCCTGGTGCCACTCCTTTCAGCTAAGAACAGGAAACTGAGGCTACAATTTGCACAAGCTCATCGAAATTGGACAATAGAAGATTGGAAAAACGTTGCCTGGTCTGATGAGTCTCGATTTCTGCTGCGACATTCGGATGGTAGGGTCAGAATTTGGCGTCAACAACATGAAAGCATGGATCCATCCTGCCTTGTATCAACGGTTCAGGCTGGTGGTGGTGGTGTCATGGTGTGGGGAATATTTTCTTGGCACTCTTTTGGCCCCTTGGTACTAATTGAGCATCGTTGCAACGCCACAGCCTACCTGAGTATTGTTGCTGACCATGTCCATCCCTTTATGACCACAATGTACCCAACTTCTGATGGCTACTTTCAGCAGGATAATGCGCCATGTCATAAAGCTGGAATCATCTCAGACTGGTCTCTTGAACATGACAATGAGTTCACTGTACTCAAATGGCCTCCACAGTCACCAGATCTCAATCCAATAGAGCATCTTTGGGATGTGGTGGAACGGGAGATTCGCATCATGGATGTGCAGCCGACAAATCTGCGGCAACTGTGTGATGCCATCATGTCAATGCTGGACCAAGCTTCCAGCACCTTGTTGAATCTATGCCACGAAGAATTGAGGCAGTTCTGAAGGCAAAAGGGGGTCCAACCCGTTACTAGCATGGTGTACCTAATAAAGTGGCCGGTGAGTGTAGATGGGACACCAATACTACCATGTCCTCAGAAACCAGCTTACTCTCAACTTGGCAAGGTCCAGATACTTTAGACAGAGGCCGTCAGCAAGCTCTCCATCATGCGCACTCTCAATACATATAAGGAAACATTCACACTCGGGTGTGTTTAAACCAATTTAAGACTTTTTAAATGGTACTTTCTCAACTCTAATACCTGCTAACCAAATCCCAGAATATTAAAAGAAAAGACACCTATATTGCCATGTCCTCGGAAACAAGCTTTACCTCAAATTGGCAAGGTCCAAATACTTCGGACAGAGGCCGTCAGCAAGCTCTCCGTCATGCGCACTCTCCGTCATGCGCACTCTCAAAACATATATATGCGTAGTTTGCAATCAAAATAAATACATTACACTGTAAATACTCTCTGCAAACATGGCCAAAGAATACCGCTTAGTTTCTGCAAATGTATTTGAGCTATAAGGACGTCACGTATCAAACGCTAAAGGTTTGGTTTGCTACTAAAGTTCTCTGATCATGGGCCTCCCCTTCAGTTTTTTCTATCAGCCCTGCTGAGTGAGAAATAAAGCACAAATCCTCTTTATCCCTCATGCTTTGCCTTCTCAGACAAATAGATATTGTAAAGTGGTGAAACAATGATGATTGACTGCTCTGCTAATCCCGGTCTCGGCTTCTCTCTGGAGTGGCAAGCAAGAGAGCGGTAGACAGAGCTCTGGTGTCTCAGCAAAGTCGTCCCATACAAATGTTAATCCTTGATCCAGTGATGTTTTTATTTTCAGCTGGAGGCGTGTGAATATGCTGAAACATGGTAGTAAAAGGGAATTTTAAGTTTTCTGTTCGGCTCAGAGTTACAAGGCCAGATAGAAGGAAGAAAAAAAAGTAGAGAGGTTGGAGTTTGTTTAATTTTTTATTAAGCGCTTTGTGAGAATGACATTTGTATTCGCAGAATTGACTCTCCCTCTCTCTCTGTTAATATTGGAAAAATTGAAAGGAGCAGCTTTAATACTACATGGATTAGCAGTCGTGCTCATCCAAAACAGTGGATTTGGTGATGCTACTTAAATCAAAATCAATGCAAAGTGGCAAAATTGCAACCGCTCTCCATTTTCAGCCCTCGAAGACTTTAATTAGATCCTTTTAGGTAAAGTTCACACTGCACGTCTCAATTTTGGTCCCATTAGAGCTGTATTAAAGGTGACAGTCTGTGTGAAAAGAGAAATTTAGAAATAAGTGACATGTCACAACTTCATTTTCCACACACTGTCCACTCTGCTGTCTCCAGATAAGCGATTTAACAGGGCCAATATGACTGGTCAGTCCACAATTATACTCCTCAAACCTCCTTTTTTCTCCCTTCATCCGAGCCTCTGGATGCATCTCTGTGGCGAGGCAAATGTCACTAAATGCCAGGGCAGGCTAACCATTCCAAAAGCTAAATGTTAGTTCATCTGTTGTGTCAATTTCCACTCAGCCTGACCAGCTGTTCTCCGGGTTGGGCCTTTTTAACCTCAGTGACAGGAATATGAGATTAACCCTTTGGCTAGCGCTGGCATTCGTATGTCAGACATGTACAAAGAGCCAAATGGGTGAATATACAACTCCATTTCCAAGGAAACTGGGCAGTGCGTGGGAATTGTTGATAACACAGCAAGACACAGGGAAAGTACATTGCATGGTCAAACTATGATGTGCTTTTATTTTGAAATATTCTACTTCTGGTAGATTAATTTATTCATTGCCAGGTTCATTTATGCAATTTTTACCCAGTGGCACCATTGACTACTATAGAAATTTCTGTAACTTTCAGGACCCACAGAATATCTTCTGCTTGGACTAGAATTAAGTGCGATATCTCAAAAGAAAGGGGTGATTCTCTTCTTTCACCAGAGAACAAAAGTTAGTCTATAACCCACTCCTGTGTTTAGTTATTGCCTGCTCAATGCAGTGTGGTCATATCATCTTTGCCGATCTGGAAAAAGAAACCTGGGAAAAACACATTTTCACGAAGGAGAGACTTTCAAGCAGAACTCGGACCGTCTATTTCATTTCACTTCAAACTGCTTTACTGTTGGCATCAAGGTCCTCCCTCCTTGAGATTAGATTGTAATAGACACTTCTTGACGGCTGGGAGTCGTAGTGGCCCTGACGCCGCAACATAAACCATACGGACTGCTCGCATCCTCCTTGCCTGGAACTGTCACTGAATTCCAGCTCGGTCTCGCTCACTACGACCGGCACCGATGGCACAACGACACGCTGGAAAATAGTTTTTTTTGATTGTCTGCTGATATTATGACAGTTTGGTACCGGGATCTCCACTGGATTCAGAGACGTTAGCACCGCGCCCATAGGAGTCGATGCGCAGAGACCATGAGCTCTTGGCTAATGACTTCGGCATTTCCCTTTTCTTCTCATAGAGGAAAAAACACTCCACAACTAAGCTAATTGGCACACTTGGTAGCACACTTCTTACTGGCAAGTACTTGTTTTTTGTTCTTGTAACATGGCTATGACGTATTTGTCGGCTTTTCTGCGTTCAGAATAACCCCAAACCTAGTGGCATGTTGGGGAGGAGCACCATCTGGTGGAAAACAAAAAAAACCTGAAAATTCGTCAAAATCCATCAATAGCACTCAGGGCAAATAGAAAAAATCAGTCTAAATCAGTCATTGGCATTAAATGAGTTAAAGTTTACAGAACGGAGAGGAAAGTTTAATGAACAGTTAGAAAGTACACAATTGGATTGGAGACTTTTGGGTTATACATGTCCAATTTTGATCGTGTTTTTGTACAATCTATGACATGAAACAAAGATATTTTACTAGATTTGTTTTCATACCAATTTTACTACACTTATTATACCACCAATTGCAAACACGACTCGATTTCGCCTCAGCAATCTGCCTATTACTGTCAGTCAGTCACACATTTTTAAAGAGAGCCACTCAAGCGAATGAGGCAGCTTGTAATTACTTTAAAGTGCATCCTTTTGTTCATTTTAAAAGGGCGATTTATCAAAAACACTGGCGACATATTTCACACGACTTTTGTGCAGCTTTTACTCAGTTAGTCAGAGCGCCTTTTTTGGTCGGAAACTTCAAGATCCAAACTTTGTGACAGCCCCCCTCCTTGCGCATGTGAAGCCGTCCACTGAGTGATGGCGTCTGGAGGACAATGAACCTTTGTTGTGTTGATTAAAGCTTTATGAAATGAGGCAGATGGAGAATAAGAAAGGCCCCGAGCCTCAGTCAGGCATGTTGTTGGGATAAGAATATTGCTTCCACGTAATTAGGTTTAATATTGTACTTAGAGGAGCGAATAGGGCTTTATGAGAATTTGAATCCAAACAAAGCGCCACAATCAAATATTGAAACAAAGATAATTGCCAAGGAATATGGAAAATAATGAATCATATCCCAGGTAGGAATGAAACCCCCTGGAAAAAAAGGAAAAATTCAGCGAGGGCAGACACATCCAGCTATTTTGCATGCCCTGTTAGATCGCTATGAAGTGAAAATGAGTGTCCTACTCTGCGGGATTCAACCTGACAAGTATGTGCAAATGGAGTGAATCTCCTCAAGTGTACCCCCGGATAACAGTTCCCGCTCTTTTTTTTCCTTTCCCTCCCTTCTCCAACTCTTCCTCTGTCTGTTTCCCATGGTGACACTCAACATCTGTAGGCACTGTGACACAATCTGCGAGTAATCCATAACCATAAATTCGATGACATCTCATCTGGCTGCTGCTGGTGGTGGGGGTTTACATCTCCGTGAGCACAGGAGCAATATCACCGTCCGCTAGCCATGCATCTCAAGCACCTCCAGAACCTTGAAATTAAAACAACTGAGCAGCAGATCTATCTTTTTTTATTTTTATCCCCCACTTTTATGCAGACACTTTCACAGAGATATATTAAACAGGGCTGCTCTTACATAATGTACAATTTTGTCCACAAATGCATCAGGCTAATTTGGCGTTTTATTAAAAATTCCCCCTTATTGTCGTTTATTATGAGGCATCCTAGAATGACCACAGCTTGTGGATACATCTCTGTCCACTAAAAGCAATTTCAGCGTGACGCCGGGATGTATTATTCAACTGCTTTAGAGGCATGTTATAATGAAGCAGGTCTCATTCTGTAATGTGCAACTGTGTCATTTTTAATACAAGGAGCCACACATGCTGCACACTCTAATAAAGCAATAAAACCTGCATGTATGATTTATTCAAACTTTTTTTAAAAAGTCTTTGTTACTCAAGGACTCACGAATCAGGCGTCCAAACCTCCTGGCTTGGCTTCACCAAACCAGTTCCCCTTGGCGAATAAGTGTGGAACCATTATATTCGGTCTATTTTTTTACAGCAGTTACACACTTGCATTGAAAAGTGTCTCTGGAAATAATTTTGCCGAGTGACGTCGTGCAAGACAATGGAAATGCCGTTTACTGGCCAATCAGAATCAAGTAATTACTGCGATATTTTGCTGTGTTCGAGTTACCTCGGGAGTCAGATGTCGGAGCTGAAAATGACGTCACACACGAGTGACCAGCATTTTATTTACCAAGTCAGAAAAAGCAAAATCAGAGGTGGAAACAAGATGGCTACATCAACGAAAGTTATTTACCATGTCCGCATATAAGGCAAGCTATAAGGCATGAAGCCATCTTGTTTCCGCCTCCGATTTTGCTTTTTTCCAACTTGGTAACTGAAACGCTGGTAACTCGGGTGTAAAGTCATTTTCAGCTCAGACTTCTGACTTCCGCGGTAACTTGAACGCAGCATTAGTAACATAGACTGCATATAGAATGGACGCCTTCTGCCTCCTCGCCACCCTGAGAACAGCACCCTCTGGTGACGGGCTGCAGTATAGGTCATAAATCCCGACTCCTCCAGCCATCCTTACAGAGCTGTGGACAAACTTTAGAAATTTACTACATTTTGTTTACATTTTTCTTTCCTATGCTTGCGATGTTGACATGTAGTTAATGTAGGACTGGTTTGTGCTCAACTCCTTTTTTTTGTACAGCTCAGTTTTTGAAAGTTATCAGGGGGTTCATCTTTTTTATGATTGACACTTGATACAGCCTATGGTGTACAAAGATGGCGTAGCTCACCCGGGGAATACACTGTTTGAGCCTAGTGTCACCACAGGGACTCTTGGCGACTCTACGGCCAAATGCGTACAATGCGACTGCGCAAGTGGTGGAGTGCGTACAATGTTACTGTGCAATGTCAGGAGAAAAATCGCAGAAATGCAGAGAGCTTTTCGGCTTTGTCTGTTTCCATCTGTATAAAAGAAAATGGAACTAGATAGATAGATGGATGTATTAAACGTCTAACACTGAATCAAAAAGTTGGATTCAATAATATTGATGCAAACATGCTACCTTTAGCAGTCTGGTAAAGTAAGCTAAACTAAGAGCATCAATTTTTCATGTTTTTGTCCCCACCTCACATGCATTAATGCACCTTTAATGCACCCGAGATCTCATACACTATTGATTTCTATGTAATCATCCATTTCTTTTCATGTTGCAGCAGCCATACATCGCATTGCACCACAAGCTCCATTAATCAAGTTGGATAAATGGCGAGCGAGGGGAGTTTTGTCTTCTTTTAAACTCCCACTTTTCTTCATTGCATTGTCCGGTGATGTGTTTTAATTCACCGTGATAGCATCAAGTTCATGCTGTATCTCAGTCCAAGGCTATCTCTATGGTGAATAGCCCGCGATAACCATCCTTATTACGTGTGACGCTGCCAAGTTGTCACCATCTATGAAATAACACCACTATTAGCGGCTAATGGTGAGCGCTACAAAAGACAGATTCGGAGCAAAGACGCGATTAATCCTGCTGGGGTCAAATACAATAAGAGCTAGTGTGTGCATGGGTGTGTTTTTTTGTACAGTATGAGCCGGTATAATGGTACCCTTTAATCACATCTGAGGTCAGTGGAGGAGCTCTCGGCTACAGGGAGTATTGTGCTAAAGACATTACATCAGATGGAGAGATAAGTGTAGGCATAGATGGATTGTGTGGAATGGCTGTGTAATTAGGGCTTGTTATTGCAATTTATGACAGTATGACAACATGTCTCGGAGAGGCAAATGTGGTTAATAATTCATGTCAAAACATCAGCTAATGTGGTAAAACTGCAAAAAAAATCATATTTGTGAACATCGGTGTAAGACTGGTGCTGAAAACACAACAAATTTTCTCTTTCAGGGGTTATTCTCTAGTTCGTGTCCAAGAGCTTTTGCAATGCAAGTTTTAGAAGCAAACAAAGTCCCCTGATGAAAGTATCAGACACAAACCCAACCAGGGGGATGATCTTATAATAGGAAGGTAGGTGACAGTTATCACACACGCTGGTTTGTTAAGAGGGGCCTTGCAGGAAGCTGTGCTGTGTTTTGGGCTGCTAATGCAAGGGTATGACAGCGTGGACTCGTGCGGAGTTCTGAAAGTATTAATCCGAGCAAAATATCTCTAACAACGCGCTCTGGAGAGATGAGACACTAATTACTAGGTAAAGGCCTCATCGATGACAGAGGTGTATTTAAAAGGACTGTCTGGTGGAAGGAGTTGAAAACAGATTGTTAATTTCGCTTGTTCGTGTGGGGTCTCAGCAGGCTGGAGTTTCAGTTGGGGGGATCTTTGATGAAAGCTGCTGGAGAGAATAAAACAAATAACAAATGATGGAGTCTAATTTATCTGGGCTTTTTTTTTTTGCTCATCTAGATAAACCACTAAGGCTTCCAGGTAGAGAGAAAGTACTCTTATACTTTAATAAAAAGTTTCTATGACACAGAGGAGGATGCAGCATCTATGGTTTCCAAGAAGAATGTCAAACTTTAACACACCAGACCACTGGACGCTTTTGCACTTTTTGTTACCATGTCCCTTAACCTGCAGTTGTATGAACTGTGTCCACACATAGTGTTATTTTTTCAGCCCATGCAGTGATTTCTACTTTGGAGTTGTATCTGTTTTTTAATGCAGTGCCATTTTGAGTCCTGTAGATCACATTTAGACGGCAAATCCGCTTTCCTTAGTCCTAGCTTCTTTGGGAGTGGAGTTGTATTTGATACCAAAGGGGGGAAAAGGGTTTCAACTACATTTGTCCAAAAAGCAAATCAGTGGAGCTCTTTTAATGGAAATGTCAATATATTTGTGAGTCTGAAGCCCCATATATTGCTACTGCTCTAGTTTTGGCATATCTTCGGCTTGATTTTTTCATGATTTGTTCTATTGATTTAGTTTTTCCCTGGTTTTGTTAGTTGAGTGTATTTTCTGTGTTTTTCCTAGTGTTTCTGTTTCCCTGTTGTTCCTGTTCCCCTGTAGTCCAGTCAGTAAGTTTTCAGTTTCTGTTTGACCTTGTTTCCCTCCTGTTCTCTGTGTTTTATTCTTTAGATCAGTTCTCAGTGTTTCCTATTTTATTTTGTAGTTGTTGATTCCGTGTATTATTCCGTGTACTAGTCTGGTTATACACCCCTAGTTTTCCCTCCCTCGTTAATCACTCATGAGTTTCACCTGTTGCTCGTTAGCCTCACCTGTTGGCCTCACCTGTTGCTCGTTAGCCTCACCTGTTGCTCATTAAACAGTGTTTGTGTAGTCCTTGTCTTCGCCTTGGTCCTTGTTGGTTCATTGTGTGTGCTTGTGTCCCCAGTTGTCTCCTTGTGTTTTTTCCCAGTGCCCTTTTGATTCTTTGGATTTTGCTTCTTTTTCTTTTTTGAACTTTTGGATTTGGATTTGTTTGGACATTTTGAGAGAAAGTTTTAGTCAGACTTTTTGCTTTTGCTTCAATAAATCCTTAGTTCTGCATTTCTGGGTCCTTTTCCTTTGTTTTTGTACCTTACATGGCAGATTTTGTTTATTGGATAAATGTAGGGGTGTCAGTTTTGACCTTTCAAACTAACCAAAAACATATCACGGGGGGTGATTTCAGCATGTCTGTGCGCTCTGTGGGGACCTTACAAAAGGTGTGCCAAAAATGTAAGTGGATGGTGCTGGCAATTTCTTTTTTTTTTTTTTTTTTTTGAGGTTTAAGTCAACAAACATTCTCTTTCTATAAGAAAAAAAGATCATCAACATTGAAACGATATATTTCAGAGCTCATATGTAACTGATAAAAGTTCAAGGACAACATTTTTAAAGTGAAACATGTCAAAAATGATTGGCATGGACAACAAAATTTGTGAAATACTGATGCTTAGGGACATCTCCAAACTGACTGCGTTTATATGCAACAGGTTATATGCATGAAGGGTAACAAAAAGGGCAAACCACTGAGGCTAATAGTGCGTTCGAGTTACCTTGGAAGTCAGAAGTCCGAGCTAAAATTGACATCACACCTGAGTTCCCAGGGTTTCAGAAACCAAGTCGGGGAAAAAAGCAAAATCGGAGGCGGAAACAAGATGGCTACATCTGTCAAAGTTATTTTAGCGCTTGTCTTGTCCGAATTATGCAAGCGCTAAAATAACTTCGGTAGATGTAGCCATCTTGTTTCAGGGCTTTTTTTTCCAACTTGGTTACTGAAATGCTGGGAACTCGGGTGTGACGTAACTCGAACACAGCATAAGTCTCTCAGAAGTACAGACAAGAAGAGATTTACTACCTTGTTAGAGCCAGTGTGTGCAAATATTTCAACTTTCTCATCATTTATCTGACAAAATATCACAAAAGAGTTCAGGAATCTGGAGAAAGTGATGTACAAAAGAGGTATGGCTAAAAACCGATGTCCAGATAGGCGTGATCACACTGCACTACATGGAAAACAAACACGGCTCTGTAGGAGAAATCCCCGCAACCGTAAACACTGTTATCCACAAATGCGAGTTAAAACTCCAGTTTTAAAAGGAGCTAAAGTGAGTTGTAAGAGTCATTAGTGTTTTTGTCATTGTCTGCAACACTATTCACACTCAACAGTGTAATTTGGGTTATTGTTGCCTTGGAAAGTTTGATTAGTAAAGCTTTGATGTGTCTTATTTGAGTCTCGTGGCGAGGGGAGAAAAATAAATACATTCTTTTCCAAAATTAGGAACACAGCTGGAAAAGGGACCACTGCGCTAAACCCCACCTCTGCGAGTCCCAGCAAAACTGGACAATTAATTGCTCTGCAGCGGTGAAATGTTTGCATAACCAAAGCGCTAATCTTCAAAGTATGATTCCTCTGCTCGCACAGGCATGGCTCTATTCACTTTAACAATAAAGGAATTCCCCTTTATAGAGTCAGCTCCAGCTCTCAGCATGGTTAGGGGCCTGCTGTGGCTTTTTACTAATACCAGCTTGTTTAATAGCGGCTGAATATGGCGGATGTTCTGAATAATTTGGCCCTGAATGCTGTGCAAAATAAGTGCAGGCAGCATGGGAGATGAATTGTCTCTTTGTAGACTGGCTCAATGATCACCCCAATGTTTTATTGAGTGAAATGTTTTGACCGCTGATGTATGAACCATAAATATGTATTGAACACATTGCTTGATGAATAGGCTAACCGTGTTTTGACCCAGCTGATGGTTTTCTCTCCGCTTTGCTTGATATCAACAGGCAAGCACAACGGAGATATGGAGAGAAATAAATAGGTAAAGTAGAATTAGAGGTGAATCTATTACCATGCATCAATACGAACTGATTTGGAGCTGAGGGTGCTTTTGAATGCCCGAAAAAAAAAAGAAAAAAAAAAAGGGGGTTTGTGCAGAGAAAACATGAAGGAGGTCAAAGCGGATGTTTGATTGTGTTTGGCCTGTATGCAGCATTTCGATTGGTCTGGAATTGCCCAGCAAATTAAATCAAACATTCACCGATTAAACATGGCTTTGTTGGAGGTAAACAGCGGAGAACAAATAGAGTACTCCCACATAAACAAAGTGCCCCCTTCTAGTTTTTTTTTTTTTTATGTGCTTGGCTCTTTTGCAAATGGAAACTGATGTTGGAATTTCAATCTTAGAAGTTAAAGAGGGATAAGATTATTCGGGAACATGCACAGCAGAGGCCGGATGAGCAGAAACAGTGGATAATACAGCAAAAATACACAATTAAAGAGGTTTAATTGTGTATTATAATTATTTGGCCCTCCTCTAGAATGATGTGTACACAATAAATAAACAGTGGGATTGAGGCATTTTGTCTGGTCAGGGTCCTTATGATTGTAGCCTCAAGTTTGTAATTACAGCCTTCTCTAAATGAGTAATACCATCGAATGTCTGCTGTTATGTGTTTGGACTAGGGCCCGCCAATTTTAGCCCGTTTGAGACTAATCGTAATCGGCCAAAACTCGCCGATATTTTCAGAAATAAAATGAGGAGAATAAGATTCGGTTTCAATTCGAAAATGTTCCGCCATTTGAAAAGTTCCCCGACTGTAGATGGTGCAGCGACCTCATGACAATTTTCATCCAATAACTACCTCACAGCACAGCAGAGCGACGGATCTGAAGCAGGCAGCTCAGGGACACATGGAGGAGAGCGGTCCGCCTCAACGGTAAATAAACCAGATTGTGAAGTAGACAATAAGTCAACAAGTTTCAGTTCAACCCACTTCACCATGTTCCCCGCTGTGCTGGTCTCGGTCACACCGAGTCATATGCAAGCTAAAGTTAGAGTAAGCCACCTGCTACTAGCCTTGCTACACTGTTAGCCGTGCCAGTAACGGTAGAATAAACAACAGTACACATTACGTGACAGAGTTTTATCAATCAGTCTTCCTGTCGGCGTGAAGAGCAGTAGCCTACAGTATATCTACAGTATTGTACTGTATCGGCTGATTAATCAGCAATCAGATTTTTTTGCCCCCTCATAATCGATATCGGCATCAGCCCCAAAAATCCATATCGGTCGGGCCCTAGTTTAGACTAACCAAAAATATAATCAATGACAATGTTTCTCTTCAAGCAATACTACTTCAGAAAACATAAAGTATATAACACAGCTCCAGCAATAAACTGCGCTCAATGTTGTTTTGGGAGTGATTTCAAGCCCATGTGGTGAATTCCACTCCAGAGTCATGACTATTTTCGATCACAGGGTATTGGTTCTCAGTCTTGTCTCTTTCGTACAGCATTCCTCCAGATTCACTTAATCTTCTAATTATATCTTACGCTGTCGATGATGAAAGCCCCAAATTAGTTGCAAATCATACTAAGGAGCATTACTCTAATTTGGTTGAAGTATGTGCTTGTGTATTCTCTCAAAGAGCCTCTCAGGAAAGCTGTTTTCTGGTGCTACATTGAAATTGAGTAAACATCATTTGTGTTTCAGCATTTGAAATGTCCTCTTTCAGTTGAAGGTAGGTTTGAACGATTCAAAAACCCATCAAAAGCAGTTTTTTATTGAAATTTAAAGCGCTGTGTTTACTTTTTTTGGAGCAGGGGTTGTACTTGAAGTGGAGTGCACAATGGGCTCTCCTGAAAGCATCCCTGAAGACTCTCCATTTGAGGTGCAATTAAGCATAATGAATCCAGGCTTCTGCTGGTTTAAATATCTTGTGGTTTCAATACTCATGGAACTCTTTGGTCTCATACCTTTGCCTATCATGGAGGTAAAAAGGACAAACAAGCAAATTAACAAGGGCATGTTTCGTTTTTGTGGCACTGCCTTCAACTCCAGCTTTGGAAACTTTGGGTTTGAAAAGAAGTCTCTCATTTTCAACAGTTGAGAAGAAAGTTGTGCGACACAGCCTTGAGGGATAATTCAAATGGTTGAATGAGCTGGTTTCAGATGGTAGTTTTGGGTATGAAAGTTACAAAGTAAAGAGACTCAAAGCTTCAATTCATTTCAATTGAATTTGTCCAAGGTCTGCAGATTTTTAACGCCTCCAGCCTTAACAAATGTAAAACTTGGTGACAGGGTGGTTAAAAACACAAATATCTTACATTAGGCTTCGATTTTCACAAGCCTACTCTTTAAAAAAACAAAAAAAAAAATCAAAACTACAGTAAAATAACTGCAGTTTTTATTGCCAGGAATGTACTGTAAAAATAACCATGACATTGTACAAGACACTACAATATAGTATTTTGCTAACTGTAAATATTACAGTAAAAAACTGTTATTAATTCACAGTAAAGTATGAAAAATACAGGTTGATTGTGAACCTCTTCACAGTGTTTTGCTGTTAAAATAACAGACATTTATACGGTAATGTGCTGTAAAAATAACATCTATACAAACAGTCTTCACAACAGCAGATACACTGTAAACCTATTTACAGTCTGTTATTAATTGACAGTAAATTGCTTTGAAAAATACAGGTTGATTGTAAACCTCTTTACAGTGTTTTGCTGTTTCATTAACAGTAATTTTGTAAATGTTTTTACGGTAATGTGCTGTAAAAGTAGCACCTTTAGCAAACAATATTGACAATAAGAGTCACACTGTAAATATATTTAAAGTTTATGTCAGTAATAAATGAGGTAGAACTGTAAATTTTGCAGTATTTTATTTAATGTAGCTCAGATATACAGTAAACTATTAGCAACTGTGGTTTTCAGAGTTTTACTGTAAAAAATACGGCAAAAACTTTATGTAACTGTGAAGGAAGGAAATAGCAACTGATATCCATTGTACACAAATGTATAGACACGTGCCTCAGTATCGCACCCAGGCCTTTACATGTAAAGCTGTGTAGGGTCCCTATAGGTGGCTGTTTGGCCTTGCAAGCTTAGGGCAGTGGTAAGGCGCAGAAATAACTGTGAAGCAGTGGCCAGCATGTGGCCCTCACAGCTGCAGCACCCATTAGAAAATGGCAGCTATTTAAAGCCTGGCTTGCATTGGCACCAACCTTATCCTGCAAAGTGAAAGCCTAACCCTTTACTTTACTTACAAAATACATCAAAATCGACATTCACTGAACCAAAAAAAGGGCAGACTCTCTTTTTAAGCTGTCTTATAAAGCTTTGAGGTACACATACGTTTTTAGTGACACAGAGAATGTTTAAGAACTGCAACCGCTGAAAATATCATGAATCTTTGACAGGATTTCCTTTTGTGGGCGGCGTCATGGCAGCAACACTGAGCTGTACTGCTAGGAGCTGACAGGTTGATTTGTAGCCGCGAAACGAACGGCTATTCAAGGTTTTTTATTAGCATGATCAAACAATACATCTAATTGCTTTCACGTGGAGTTGCATCCATAATGTTCCTTAGTACTTGTTTAGGAGCTGTTTTAAATGCAATCACTTTACCTTTGTTGAGGTGAGCTTGGAAATTAAATTGATTTTTCAGCTGCACTGTGTGATCCTTTTGGAGATTCAGTCACTGCAGGTGATGCTGTTTTCATTCGGACAAAGTACCCTCTCTTTATTTCAGACAAATGTACTGACATCCAAGACAAAGAGAAGAAAAGTGGCTATTACAATACTACCTCCCAGTTCTCTTCTCTTTGCAATTGCTCTCTGACAGAGCAAATGCAGCGGTCTTTTGTATTCACAGACGCTTTACCTGTGGAATTAAATTCTCTGTCTATTGCTTTTTCTTCCCAAGCAAGAGGAAAAAGAGTCATTTATAGAATAAGAGGAAATGACCAAAGGCCAGGCACAGGGGGAAAAAAAGAAAATAAGTACTTCTTTGAAAGTAGAGCAATTTTTGATTTTATTTCAGTGGCGAAAATTTCGAAAAAAAAATGCTTTCTTTTTTAGCCCATTGTATAACCTTTCATATGACACAAACAGTAGCAGGACTCTAAATATCCATATGAATGTTATCAGCCCTTTCTCTATGATTGTGTCTTTTGCTTTTGTCACAAAGAGGCGTTTACATTAATTATATTTAAATAAGTTAGAATGCTGAACAAACTTCTGACGCTCTATCAACATCTCAATGGGAAGCCAACTTCAAGAGTAGGGGTCATAACATTCTGACAAGGCAGAGTGCTTTTCATATAAACGACCTGTCACAGCATATGTTTAAAAGGCTAAAAATATATGAAAAACGTCCACTTACTTCAAAAGAAAATCACTTCCCTTTCCTTTTAAATGGTAGTAAACAGCAAAGCATGTATTTATGTGGTGTTCCAGACTGTAATGACACAGTACGCAGAGGGTGCTGCGGTTCAATCCAATGAAAATGTCACATCTCCAAACCGCTCTGTACGAATGAAGTGTGGGTGTAATGTGAATAATAATTAAGCTTGGCGTTCATCTGGTTAAAGTCAGTGTCACCTATTCCAGCTGGTACTGTAAGTCATTTAAAATGAAACTTTCAAATCTATTTAATCAAGTTTGCTTTTTTCCTTCACTACTTTTGAATATTGCCTTTTTTCATGTCTTATTCTCTTTGTTAAACTCAATTTTAAAGACGATTTTGTTCAGAAAACTTTTTGATAAACAGAAACCCAACTTTTTTGAATTAATACAAGACACCAGAGTAGTATTGATCATTCTGTTGCCTTATTGTTCCCAGTAATTTCCAACAGGATGCGTTTAAGATGTGGACTTTTCAGACATAAAACACAAAACAAGACATGATGGCACACCCAAAATTCCTGTTGGCTTTTTAACTGCTGATGAAACAGGCCTGAATCAATTGTGATGCCTCCACACAAGGTTAGAAAGCAAACAGGTCCAAAGACAAGACTGAATATTTCTATTTTTCCTGTTGCAGCAGTGTTAAATGCTTGAATCTGATCAGTCAAAATCTAGAAGCGATGCTAATCAATTCTCGACAACAAAGACGCTGTCTTTAGTGTATTGGTGCAAGGTCTTCTGGAGGGCTCGCCACTTTTGTTTCAGTGTTTTTCCACCTCTACATCAGTCTCAGCCAATCACTGCAAAACCTCGTTCTGATAACTTCCACTCCCATCCAGATCATTGCGTGGACTGAGAGGCTGCAGAGGCCAAATATTTGATGGTTTTTGAATTCAAAACCTAGTTTAAAAGTGGGGTAGGCAGGATCTGAGGAAGTGCCAATTTTTGGGAGAAATCTTGAATGTAAACACTATCTCTCCCAACCAGTTTTCCCTTCATCTCCTCTTTTCCCCTCCCGCTCTGCTCCAGCAAACCCCGCCCACAATCAGACGCTCTTGCTTGCTCGTATCATTTCAATTAAATTCAGCTATAATGCAGATAAATACTTCAGGTAATTACAAATGGAGCCCAGTCAACGTGAAAGTAAAAAGCATTGGTGCTACTGTAGATGCCAACAGACTACCAGCAAACACAATGTTTGCCGGACTTCTACAACTAGGATAAAGTGACATAGTCCAGGACCCGAGGTAAACAGTTTAGCGGTGCTACAACACGCAGCAGGTCTTGGCTTACTTTGTTTAAGCGGTTTACCTGTTCAGTTGAAAGGTTACAGGGTCCCTAATATCTAGAATCGTCCCCCATGTGCTTCATTGATGTTGACCCAGCTTTTAAGCTCTTGTCCGGTCTACCTCAGTTTTTAGCACCCGTTATTCCGCCAGAGTCTCCGGTATTTACCTCATTTTCTTGCTTGTGTTGGCAGTTGTGGCCAAAGGAGGATTCTGACAATTTCCGTACTTTCTGGTTGGTTTCCACTATCAGATATTGTAGCATGCTAACTTTGTTTCGGCTCATTAAGCGTGCCTCACAACCAATCAGCACTCAGAAGCCTCACAACCAATCAGGTTGGGGGAGGCGGAGAATGGCTTTGTTTACGGTCAGAAAGAGCGGGCCGCTCAAAATATTTAAAATGTTGACTACACAGACATAACAGAACACAGCAATATCGTTATATTACCAAATTTCATCAGTAACTAATAGCTATTGACTGGTATTAAAAGGTTTTTTTTTGTATATACGCCACAAAAAAATGATGGTTTATTAACGAAATCCTGCCTACCCCACCTTTAAATAATAATTCTGTCTGCAAGAGCCTCCAAAATGAAAGCTGGTTACAACTTGTAAGGTGGAAGAGCGAACAAGGTGGCTCTAAATCTTTCAGTATGTACAAATTAAGCAGCCTTTTCTGCTCTTTTTACTTTTATAGGAGCATCTTCACCTTAACAGTCTTTAAATCCGCTTGGCTACGGTTATTATAATTAGCTCTTTAATAACATCTTTAGTCTGAAAAGAAGACCTGGCCTACAATTACCTGTGATCTTTTACAAGCTAACAACCCTATCGATTCTTGTTACTCATTCACATTTGCCCTTTTATTTCAATAATAATCATGTTTTAACGGTCTATTTGTGTTATTGCTGTCTATCTGATTCGTTCTGTAACACCCTGGCGTTAGTATTGATCTATAATCAGAGCTGGGGGAGCTGTCGCTTGATGCTTGTTTAATCCAAACCATATGATTCAGATATTTTTCTATGTCAAAAAAATTTTCAAGCAGGGAGGTAAGGTGTCAAATTAAGAGCTAGGACACAAAAAAAAGATGCAAATAAGGGACTTGGAAGCCATTACTAAATGGAAAGCACCCTATATAATCTAATGCAGTACATGTGTTAGGTTGATTTGCATCTGATTCCTTAAGCAGCGGTACACTGAGCCCACGGGGTGGCTATAATTAACAGCCAAAAGCACAACAGTGGTGTGTAAGCTTGTGGTTCAATAATACAGTCAATAATCTTGCCAGAGGTTTAATTCCCAAGTTCAGGACATGCAAGCATAATGCCAACTGCATACTAAGGAGAAGATATTGTGTAAATACGTGTATGAAAATACAAAGTGATAGACTGTTAAGACCTTTGACATTTCAGGTTCTTTTGAGATGGGGAGGGAAATGAGAAGGAGGGTGGCTGGTGGCATTTAGGGAACAAGACCACAGACAAACGAGTCAATCCGGTTGCTGCAGTAATATGCGTCATCGACATGGATTAAAAGTAAACTACTCAGCGGGGGAGAACCTGAGCCATTACTGTAATGATGAAAGGCAGCAGAGAGCTGGCTTGTCAGTGAGGGAGAGTGTGCACTTTTTACCTCCTGACTTCATTAAAAGGAGATTCACCAGGCTTAGCCTCGGAGACCACTGCTGCACAGAGAAAGGTGGGAAAAGGGTGGTAGGAGTGGGAGGGACTCTGCAGTGCATGTTGCTTTACACTCATCATGTCTCGATTCGCATCCATCTGTGCATGTCTCCTTGCATTTCTTGTCTCGGCTGTTTATTATGCAGTGGCCTCTCAATCCCCTCACCTCGCTGGTCAAAGATGAAAGAGGTCTGTTCTTCTGATTAGAGCTTCCAGGCACGAGATGTTCCTTATCAGTTACTCCACACGGCCTTGGGATTAGCATTGATAACTGATGAGTGAAACAACATTTTTTAGACTTTTAATTAGTGCCATCTACTCAGCAAAAGCTAAGGTGTGTCAAGGTCGCCTTTAAGCCAGAAAACTAATTCCCTGTGTACAGATAACAAAGAGGGAGGCGGTGTAACATCATGACTTCGTCTACTATTTAGCACATGGACAAGCTGCCCGGACAGTTTTTAGGTCTTCTTTTTGGGTCATTAAAAGATGTACCCAAACATTAACAATAATATCCTCTCTAATATGGCAGCCCCCAAGACACAGTTTGTAGTCCTTTTATAGTTTACACTGTTTACAGGCTGTTTTATTCTGAAGAAACCAGCAGTTGTTCAGTTCAAGCCTTCATCGTTAAAATGGGAGACCCCAGGGCACCGTTTTGGGTCCTTTCAGGTTTACACTGTTTACAAGCTGTATCATTCTTAAAAACTACCAACTGTTCAGTTCAAGTGTACGCTAATATGGGGCACATTTTTGGTCCCTGTAACTTTGCACTTTTTACAGGCTAAATTTGTCTTTAAAATCCATAAAACTTGTTCAGTACAAGCAAAAGTAAGTGAGGGAGAAGAAAAGTGTTCTCTATCCATTTTTAATACGCTGAGGTACATATTAAAAAATGCAGCATTATTACTGACAATGACAATTAAAATATAATGATTTTTTTATGCCAGTTTTAAGGTTTCATTTGAGATCTGTTATTTACAGTTTACTTAAATCCTTGACATCCTTTGTAATCCATTCATGATCCTTACTACTTTTGGGATGGACAGCCTGGTTATTTGTAAATGTAACAAGTAAATTAGTAGAAAAAGATCGGTTAAGGCAAACGCAGAGGGGGGGAAACACTTAAAGGCATGGTTGACGATCTGAGGAGCAGTTGAAAAAAACTGAGACATTGAGGCAGATTTGAAAAAAGCGTCCCACCCCCCCACCCCCCACACACACACACAAACCTCTCCTCTCTGTCGCCATGATAACTCCCCCTTAAACCTGTATCACCCTCCTCACAACACACCCCCTCTGGCAAAGCAAGAAGTCGGCCAGCAGAAGATCCTTCGCTAGCTTCAAATAGGATTCACCATATCGGATTGCTAGTGACTAGCGGCGGTAAAAGCAAGCTCTGCTAGCGAGCACAGACTGCAGCTGCCTGGACAGCTACCATGTTGACATTGCAGAGACTAATAAGAGTTATTTATGTAACATGTGCCACAATAAAAGGCAAACATTACCTGTTCAACAAAAACTCTCCTGTCTCTGCGTCTGTTTTCAGGCCCAAATCCTAGCGAAGCGAAGAGTTAGATTCCTTGCTTGGTCACATTTCCTCTTTGACTCCGCCCTTTCCTTTGTAGGCTTGCGTTTTCCTCCCACTTTTGGCGGTGGGGCAAGCAGAAGTGTGTTTTTTTGTTTTTTTTTGTTTGTTTTTTTGTTTTTGTTTTTTTGCGTCCTTCTCTGTCACAGCTCCTGTAGATAAGCTGCTACGCTACTTTTAGCCGCTAAGAGCTCCGATAAGGGCTGGGAGAGTGTATTTGAGAGGGGTGTGTCAAATACAGCGAGGTGATTGGATGGAGAGGTGGAGCAGGAGATTGACCAATGGGAGCTGTCCGGAACAGTTGGCTCCCATTGGTCAATGTTTTTGCAGCCCTGCACCTGCTTGGCTGAACAGATTTTTTCCATTCCTCTTTCTCTTCACTTTGTGGAGATCGCACTATAGGCCCATGATCGCCATGTAAATGAGGTTCATAATAATTACCAATCTTTCGAATCGTCAACCATGCCTTTAAGCATTTAAGTGAACCACACAAATATTCAGAATCTAGAAGTAGGAATCAGTTATTTTCACTAAATACAGTGGTTTTTGCAATTCCAGAGTAAAAATGCAAGAGAGCCCCTTGTGTGGTGAAAGACTTTTATTTTTTATTGAAGTTTCATAAAAAAAATCATTTTTCAGGTATTTACATGTAAAACACCTGCTTTTATTCAATTTTCACTTACTTTTGAGGCCGTGGAGGGCAAGCTTGTTCACCAAAGCTGTCTTGGGGAAAGTGGTAACTGGTGTGTTAATGTCGGCAATGTGACATTAATGTTCGTTGTGCTGTGGCCTGTCTAAACTCGTGCTATGTGCTGCTGTGCATGGGAGACCAAACTAGTCTCTGGGTGAAATGCAGTTATTAAAAAGTCACCGTTAAGTACTACAGAGTGTAACAGCAACATCAACTTCTAGATGCAGCGGCTAGAAATCACAGGGAAGGAGAAGTGGAGGGGACTTAAGGGGAGGGAAAGAGGAGGAATAAAGGAAAGAAAGTGAGATGATTACCTTACCTTGAATGAACTTCCTCTGCACTTAATCCAATTACAGGCAATTAATCATTCAGCTGATACTGGCGAAGTCCCAGGCTGGCAAAGTTACTGATAGTTGACAGTTCATCAAGATGGAGAGTTTTTTATAGCTGCTGGTTCCACATTAGCATGAGATAAGTTAATCTTTTGGCAATCCCAGTGGTCCCGGTGGTCCTCTGATAGCGGGGGAAACGGCTTTCTTCTTCCACGAGCAAACGCTAATTAGCATTACACATTCAACCAGTGAATTAGCATGGACAACACTTAAAGCGCATCAAGGCACGCGTTGTTATTGATATCATGGCGAGGTATTTGAAGGATTGTTTTTTGCAGTTTGTACATATGAAAAATTGATTTGACTAAATTAGGTGGGTGAGTATACAGCACTTTACAGACAGCTCTTGTCTTCCCTTGGCTCTTATCTGGTGTCCTCAGATGTAATCTCGATGGAGAGCTGACAGGCTGGATGGCTAATTTCCTGACTGTGAAGCCTCAGTATGCCCATGTGGAAGGCACACTGTCAGAGTAGTTCCATCACTGGCCACCCCGCGGGGCAGTGCGCTTGCATCTTGAATCTGGTTTGGGAATGCAAGGTTCGGCTAAATTTGCTACATGTAAACAACTCAGTGGCCTGACTTGGGATATGCCCTCTTTAAAAGCAGTTGTTATTCACATGTGCGCCGCTCTCTCTGTCCCCCTTTATGCCTGACTTGGTCAGCGCAGTGATTCAGCAGCCCGCAGTCTTCTGCTTTCACCATTTTCCTGACTGACCTTGACACAGCTGCCTCCGATTTTAAATATTAGTTTTTCGTTTTGAAATTCTGACATCCTCTCTGGCTCATACATGTAATGTACTGAGTTAATAAACCATATCAAATAAGGACTGTACTTTATCTAACTTCTCCGACACACTCTTGACAAGAAGCTCCAAAAGAGAGCACAACATTTCTTCAAGGCAGGAGGAATATCTTCTGTAACCATAATCATTAATATTCATTGCTGTAATAGGGTAGCTCCATGAGAGTTTCTCTTATTTGTGTCTCAAGTTGAAGTTTTACTAAACTGTCAAACTGCCATACTCCCTCCCTACAATTCTTTAGCAGGAGAGAGACAGAAAGTAGATGAGAGCTGCGTTTTTATATTGAACTGTCACTTCTTAGGAATAGAATTTCCCTCTGTAAAAGTAATACTGCAATTGACTGTATCTGGAATGGACAGCGTGCCTCCATTTACTCAAATGCATTAAAAGTTCCTGATAAGCTTTGATATAAAATTTCATCCACTCTGTTTTTAATCAAGCAAACTGCCTTCCTTTCTGGGTGATGGGAGGAGAGAGGATTGAGGAGGAAAGTCAGGAAACACACAAGGATACTTTCGCGCAGAATTCATCGAAGTCTTCACTAAAGTCGTCTTCTGTTTGTTTTTTTTTTGTTTTTTTAATCTGTTGCCAACAACAGTTCGCTAGAAATTGGTAGAACATCTCTCCCAGTTGCATCTTGGTTTATCAAATGTGATGTTTTATTTCAAAAGATGTTCATAACTGTTAGGCTAATGGCTAGCTGTTAGCCATTAGCTAACAGCTTACTTAGCATGCTAATAATGCCAACATCCCTGGATTTTCTTTGTCATGTGTAGGGCTTAAGGTCCTTTCACACCAGGAGCATTTTTTTGTATGATTATTTTTGACGTCAATGACCTGTCAATACAAGTGTTCACATCAGTGATGTTTACCCGTTCTGCGATATTGCGGCATTTGTTTTTTTGTATCACAGTCGAATTGTCTAAAGTTTCGCATACTGTGTGTCCACTTCTGACCAATCAGATTGTGTGTTGTTGCTACGTTAGATTCACCGGTATATCCAACATGGCCGACCGGCTGATTGTTTACGCATCGGAGAACAGAGTGCTTTTTGATAAAAATTACAAATAGTCATAGCGTCGGATTTCACATATGACGATGGTTTGTGTGCTTTAACAGTTTGCTAAACCTCTTTGTTTTAACTTTCATCTGCGCTAAGTAACTTTAGCTTGTAAGCTAACCTGTTCAGATACAACATACCATATGTATTTTCACTGTCTCAAACTCAATCGCGTTGCTGTCACAGCACCATTAGGTCTCTGTTGTTACCTTACGTTTATGGATTATAGTTTAATGTGCTTATCTGGTACTGGCCCCGACTCGTCAAAATTTGCCTCCGAATACTTAGTAATTTCGCATCGTATTTTTGCGTCGTTCCCAGATTAAAGGACCTTTAATCTAGCTGAAACTGGCCTGAATGTTCTGTACATGCCCCAGCGTTTGCACAGCGGGTTCGGAGTTAGTGGTAGAACAGCATAAAGCGTTGCTAGGAAACTGGGTAGTAAAAATAATCTTGACAGAAAAACCTAAACTTTCCGAACAAAAGGTGCAGTGCTGTAAAAGTGAGGTTATTTAACCCTTTACTTACATGTGTCATCATCTGCCGGTTCATCGCCACCTACAGTTGCAGAGGTGGAAATGCCTCTGTCTATAAATGAAGTCTTGCCTACATGTAGACATACTGACTGCTAAGACTTTGAGAGTATAACTTTGTAGGCTGCTTAGATACAAACCAGTGTATTGCAAATACAGTTTAACCTCACTATGACACTGGTAGAGATGCAATACGTTTGCATAGCTTGCTGTTTTAGCCCAAAGGTTTATATATCAGCGAGTTTGAGCACGTACTGGTGATCCACATGAAACAGAGAAAGAGCTGTAGGCTTGTGCAGAAACATATATGTGCAGCGAGCACGTTCGGGCTGCAGGCGAGAGTCTGAGATGGCTCTTTGATTAAAAATAATGTAAAAATGAAAATATGTTTACATCTGCAGGGTTTTATCTTAGCCGGGAAAACTACACCATCGGCATGTGGAGCCGGCTGAATCTGCTCCAAGAGTGGCGTTAAGCATTATTTACCAGTCGGAGAAAACAGCAGGGCGATAAATTATTTCGCAGGCTTGTTAGGCGGTTGAACTCTGTGCAGATCTGTTTTGTGGGCTAAAAGACGGCGTGAACTTCTTAATTTTCTACTTCTATAACCCGATAGTATGATGTTTAAAAAACCTGGATCAGTGCATGTATTTTTAATGTAAAAAACTGCAAAAATACACCCTACTTCTCTTATTTTAATAGATTTATCAATTAGTCATTACTATTTATCACACTGCAGTAAAATAATGCACTTTGACAGTGTTTATACAGCTTAATATTTGTTGTTATACTTGACAATCTAACATGGCAGGTCAAATAAGGGTAATTATTTCTGACAGCCTCGTCAATCAACCATCTTTTCTTAACCTCAGCTGCCTTCTACCCAGCAGATGTGCATACTCCAATCCAGCACTAAAATAACTTTTATTCTAAGTAGAAATAGATGCCAATGTGAGTGTTGCCTCCTGTCTGCTTTTCAGCCCCGTTCATACATATTTTAATACCTGTGTGCGTGAACATCTGCTCACAAATTGTGATTTTGCTGAATGGAGCACAAACGCAGATAGATTAACTTTAGGAAACAACTGCAGAATCTCTTTCGTTGGTATTTTTCATGGCTTAGCTGGAGTGTAAGAAACAGATTTATGTTTTTTTTTTGAGGGGAAAGTTTTGTAAATTGCTTATTATCAAGCCGCAAACAGGAGTTTCTGCTCATCTGAAGCGTTCAGTGTTGTTTGTTTAATACAGTCGTAGTTATAAAACCGTGTGCCAAAGGGTGAGCAGCTTGATATTCCACAGAGGACGTCACACGATCAAGGAGTTCGTCCGTGCAGCATGCCTGTGGAGCGAGAGCAAAGTCAGAGAGCTCAAAGGCACAAGGTTTGCCAACGGGTACATGGCGGCTGTATGTACTATTCTGTATCTGCGTGTCCTTGATTTTATAACAAGCCGGTTTGAGTCTTCAAATTATTCATGGCTTGTGGGTGGACCTCGTTATTGACATTGTTCACAATGCAAATCAATGGAGCTCAAGCGCTGTGAGGACAGGGACGAATGTGGAACCCTAACACATGCTTTTCTATTAGTAAAGCTGCTAAACCAGCATGTGCAGGTATATACTGTACTGTGCATCACAATGATTCTCCAGCATATGGCCCTAACCATAACCATACAGGCCCTATGCATGTATCTCTTCCAATTTTTTCATTAATCATTTTGGCGAAATATCTGAAACAACTGCTCCGCCAGCGGCAACACCAGGTTGTATGTTCCCAGGTTTCTCTCCAGTCATAGCTTGAGCTAAAACAGACATGAAAAACCAGATGATTGATTGACGGACTGACTGATAAGATACAACACAACCTGCCTAGGGCTAAACCGTCTGAAGCGTGTTGCTTTTTTAAAGCGAAAAAAAGCACTCAACCTCCTGATGGATTGATGCACTTGTGGTGTTTGTATCACTTTTTTGTCAGTTTGACTGAAGAAACAGAGCTCACAGTCATCTTCTGATGAGTGTCAGTGAGTGTAAGTTGGACTACCAGCATCTCCTCTCTAAGAAAAGATGAGATGATGTGGGATAAAAGCAGAATTTGATGGTTTGCGAATATAAATCTCGAATTTAGAGGGACAGAGGAGACCAGTTTCTGGAGTTCTGAGGTTGAAATGTTGTCCCAGTTTTGCCCAGTATACTCCTTAAGAACTCCAGTGAGTCAACAGTTTCATCATGTGCCAAATATTTTAAACAGGTGACAAGTTAACACAGCAGGCAGGCCATTTAAGCACTTGGGGCCTCATTTGTCATCCGTGTGTAGAAAAGCTTCTAAATTCTGGCGTAGGAATGAAATTTAGATTGTGCGTAGGTCCAAAAAAATCCACATTTATCTAACATGCGGACACCAGTCGTACGCACACTGGTAAGTAATCGACGATGATAAATCCCACCTGTTCTTTACCTCCGCCAAGGAGGTTATGTTTTCGGTAGTGTTGGTTCGTTTGTTTGTTTGTCTGTTAGCAACTTTACGGAGAAAGTAACAGACGGATTGACCTGAAATGTTCACCAGAGGTGCGTCTCAGCCCCAGGAGGATCCCATTAAATTTTGGTGGTGATCCGGACAAAATTCTGTACACTGTGATCCAGAATACACAAAAATAAGGGTGTTGTTGGGAATTTTCAATGCTGAAAGATAACCAATGGGCGGCACAGTGGTGTAGATAGGCGGCACAGTGGTGTAGTGGTTAGCACTGTCGCCTCACAACCAGAAGGTCCTCAGTTTGAATCCGGGTCAGGGCATTTCTTGTTTTAGGAACATTATGAACAGTGAACATACCAGTTTAAACACAAATAAAAGTTAATAAAAGACACGTAACAGTAAAAGTTTTGGTGTGAATCACAATATAAGGGGGGACATGAGCTGCTTGGCGGAGGTCTGCGCTCTCCGAGTGCTTTTCTAGTTACTACTGTGCTCGTGCATGGTTACGGTCATGTGCATTCAGAAACGCCTCCAATTGATCATATATGGTATCAACAATCCCTTTAAAAATGTGTGAATGGATTTTTTCCCCCTCACCGAAATCATGGAAGTGCACACTCACAGAGCTGTTCTGCAGAATGAATGAGTCGTGCATTCCTCCAGACAATATTTAATAGATACATGTGTGCATCGCAGATTATTTGTGCGTTGATTGAATGAATTCTTTTCCTGTTGACAAAACTGACTTTATTGTGTAAAAGTGCTTTTATTGCGATCCATGGCTCCAATTATGTTTGGGAATACGTTGGTGACGTGTTTATGGGTACTGGATGTAAGCTGAGGCCAGAGAAATTATTGCATCCAACTCTGCCGGCATGATTCTGCTTAGCGTTGGCTGCTAAAAGCCGTATATGTCTCCAATCTCACGCTTAAATGTTCCAGTGGCCAAAAATCCCAGGGTGGACAGGAGCTGGTTGTGCACTGGGATGGCTTTGGTGCGTTTTGTCTCTCTCCAACAGGGGTTGTAAATCACGGCATAAATCCATTACAATGTTTTTGGGGAGGCGGTAACTGCTGAGAAGCCACACTGTGTTCTCACTGAGCAGATCAGCACGGTCTTTGAAAACTAGTCTTCCAATAGCGCAAAATAAGCCATGATACTTGTATTTGTACTTGTAAGACTTCTTTGAGGTTGTCCTGTCACAGTTGATTTTATAGTTTGTCACACCAATCATTCAAAATGTCTGCGAAATAACTGACAAATTTTGTACTGAGGCAAGGGAGAACGTGTGAAGTTTGAGATTGCTGAATGCTGTGACTCCTTTAATGGGTTCTATTTGTAGTTTCACTGTTCTACCCCTAGATTTTGTGTATAAGTATGGTCAGAGTTGTGTTTAAATTTACGCACGTTCCTAAGCACAAGCACAGGTTGGTAAATGCCGTACTTTGCGTGGGAATGTTCATACGCATGGTCTATAAATGAGGCCCCTGGACTCTTCTACTCAGGAGCCATACTGTTGTGATGAGTGTAGGTGTGGTTTTAAATCATCTTACAGAAATACACAAAAGGGCATTTTCTAGATGTCATCATGAAACATAGTCAAGACAAAAACAAATAACTAGCATAGATCAGCTCTCTAGAGATGACTCAGCACTTTCAGAAACTAAAATTCTTAATATACCGTAACTGTCCCCACACACCAAGCGCGAGTAAAATCATTCGCGCGAATGAATTACATGCTAAGTCAATGCAATGACGCGATTAGACACTCCTACTACTCTGGCGGCGCGAAAATGTCTCAACTTGAGCGGATATTCGCATCACGATAACGAATCAGCAAGAGGGTTGCAAGTGAAAAGAGACGGTTGTTCACTGGTATCTAAAACGGTATCTTTCAATTACCCGAACTGGAATAAAAAGGAGCTCGCCTGGAGGGAGGCAAGTGAGTGAGGAGGTCGAGTTACCTGGTAAATTATGAAAAAAAAAAGAATTTGTCTATCACTTGATCCCGCTGGTTCAATTGGCAGAGATTACTGCTGAAATTACTGTTGACGCGCAAATGAAGCAAGTAAATACTATTCATTCGCGCGTCTAGATTCATGCGACTTAAGCGAGTAGATGATTTTACTCGCGCGTCATAAATCTAAATGCAAAATTAGAGCATGTGTCTCTTTGGGTTAATAATTAGTTAAACATTTGTCATTTTAAAGATTTCTTTTAACTGTTTACTCTGAGATCCGCAGAAATCATACTTCAAAATAAAAGCAAAATGTTAAAATATAGCAACCTCAATGCAAGACAGAAAAACATCAAAATAAAAGCATGCCAAACAATTGTGTTATGAGGCAATATCTTGTCTTGCCGATGTCTTGCATGAAGATAAATGAGCTATGCGGTCCCTTTCTTCTTTAGATTGAAGGACGTGGGGTCCAGGGTTTTCATCCTTGGAACTACAGGGCAGCTTTCCACTCTGCTACATCTTAAATTGGCTTTGTTTCAACATACCAAATAACAAAATGCTTACTTTTCTCACTCAAGAGGATTAAACTGTCTTTGAAAGACTTGCTCCGTCAAAGAAACATCCTTCATCTGCTTGTTTTTGCATCGAGTATGAGCTTTAAAAGGGTTAGTGCACTCTTTTTACACAGCAGAAATCCATTCCTACTTCCTGCAGTCGATAGTTTTATTGAAATATGAGTGTGCATCAACCTTTGGAAGACTAAAAACTGTTTTAGTTCAGATGCACGAGCCGGTAGGAAAGAAAAATCCTCCTCAAGTGTTCGCTTTTCCTGTTTTCATTTTTTCATGTTTCAGTTTCACAAAAAGCAATGAGGTGTTCTGTTGCCGTCTGCAACCCGTGAGAACAACCTCGCGAAGGGGAATAAAAAGCCGCTGGTTCACGGAGGTTTACCCTCAAGCTCACAGCAGGGACACTAATGGCCTCAAGACCTCTCTGGTCTGTATCTCCTTCTGTCTGTTACCATGCATCTCAATCTTTTTCCAGGAACGCTGCCTCCGTATCACGCCTGCACACTTTTTTTTTCTTCTTTTTTTTTTTTTTTTCCCACACACATCATCTTTTACACAAACCTCCACTCCGGCTACATCATCTGCTTTTCCTCCCGGAGACGTCGTTCATCATCCTCCTCTGTTTCCTCAAGCTGAGTTTTCAACTTATCTGCCAGCCGAGCTGATGCTGAGCAGCTCATTTCTCAGCTGGAGTGATAACTATCTTTTGCATGCCTGGCACAAGCAGACCTGAAAACTCTCTCTGTGTCAATCCTCCGGGGCCATCGGGTAGAATATTGATTGGAAACTTTACTTGATTAATTTGGTCGGAGCCGTTACTAGAAGAGTGCTGAGCTTGTTGCAGTTTGTCGTCACCCGAGTTGTGTCCACATTTACCCGCACACACACACACACAAACACACTCGGACTCAGAGCTCTGTCCAAAATGCTAAGCTCCATGACAACAAATTGTTATGTAGGATTTGGATTTGGATTCTCCTGAGCTTACACAACTGCAGAGCTGGCTCAGACCAAAACACTGTGATTCGCTTTGCCTCAAAGACGGTCTTTGCAGGTTTTGCTCGGTCCTTCGTTAGGACAGAATGTCTCCACGTTGTGTCAGTCTTGGACTTTCCAATTTAACCTTAGACTTCAAATGTAAGGAGTCCACCTGGAAGTGCAAAAGAATGTATAAATTAGTGCGATATGATTTGCAATACCATTAATCACAGCTGGTGCATGTATAGCGGGGAGCTCCCTGCCTGTTACCCTTAACAACCAACTAAGTGTAAGTAAGTTGCAATCGTCTGAATTAGGGCCCGACCGATTTATCGACGAGCTGAATAAATCGGCCAGTTTTAGCCTGTTTGAGACTAATTGGTAATCGGCCAAAACTCGTCGATTTTCGCCGATATTTTCAGAAATAAAATGGGGAAACTTATCCTGTAGATGGCGCAGCGACCTCATGGCAATCTTCATCCATTAACTACCTCACAGCACAGTGGAGTGACGGATCTGTAGCAGGCAGCTCAGGGACGCACGGAGGAGAGTGGTCCACCTCAACGGTAAATAAACCAGTTTGTGAAATACACAATAAGTCAACAAGTTTCAGTTCAACCCACTTCACAGTGTTCCCAGCTGTGCTGGTCTCGGTCACGCCGAGTTAACGGTGAAGCACCATGTAATATGCAAGCTAAAGTTAGAGTTAGCCACCTGCTATTAGCCTTGCTAAACTGTTAGCCATGCCAGTAACGGAAGAATAAACAACAGTACACATTACGTGATCGAGCTACTTCTCTTACTGAGGCAGCTGCATGTCACTGGAAATGTGTCACGCAGAGGCACCGATTCGTCGGCAGTGGGGTTGAAAATACTTCTCTGGTCCGAGTTTGATCAGTCGGTCTTCCTGTCGGTGTGAAGAGCAGTAATCTACAGTATACCTATAGTATATAGTATACTTAAGATATCTACAGTATATATATATTTTTCATAACTTAAATTTAAAAAAAAAAATCAGCCGATTAATCCAATCCCCCCCCCCCCCCTAATAATTGGTATCGGCATCAGCCCCCAAAAATTCTGTTTCGGTTGGGCCCCTGTCTGAATCCCTCAAACTCTCCCTATCCGATAACAAGTGATGAAGAAAAGCAGCAAATCCCTCCACGGAAGAAGCTGGAAGCTACGGTTTGATGTGCCATTTTTTAACACTGAGCACCTGCCCCTCTTAAAGGTCTCTGCACAGGCCTGAATCACAGAGCTCCAACCTGGCAACCATTCAAAATAAAATATTTAACAAGCTGGAAAAAAAACTACATGATACAAATGGGGGTTTTAATTATGCACAAGACTGTGAAAACATAATCAATACAGTGTAAAAGACTGAGCAGAATTGGCCTTAGTTCAAGTATTTGGAGACTCCATGAAGCTCGTTTGTTGACAGAATTTGAAATCTAATTCAGTGTTGAGTGCTTAATTGCATGTATGAATGTAATCCACACAAACAAAAGACCTGCCATAACAAACATCCTGTAGAGAAGACCTTGGGATATGTGATGTTCCAGCAGAGCACAGTCATGTCTCTTACTTTTCCTGGTGAATAATTCATAGTTGCACTCTCCGGACATGGGCTTGGCTGAATATTTCATGCAACTTATTTGTCCCCTGTAATAGGTTTGACTCCAGTCTGGCTCTGGCGTCCTCGAAGGGAAGCCTCGCCAATTGGACAGCTAACCTTTCTCTGCCCAGAGTGTAAAAACTCAGGCCACAGAAGGAATGAGAGGTCTTATTTCGTTTGCAGTGTGTGAAATACAATGTGTAGTGCCGCTCATGCCTAACAAACCGCAGTGGGATACCGCTGCGTGGCGTGTTGCTTCAGTCTCTCTTTTTTTTTCTGTTTTTTTTTTTTTTTTTTATGCGAGAGCCCGCAATTATGTTCTGTTGCAAGCTGTGCAGTCAATGTCACACAGAATGGCCTCCACGTTTAATCCATCAGACACAAATTGGGGTAGATTCCTGGACGCTTTTGAACCAAATTGAAAGGCTTTGCTGTGAAGCTGGTGCGGAAACAGAGTGGGCGGGGGGGGGGGGGCCTGCCGTAATCAAACACTGGTTAACAGACCAGATTTTTCAACTTGTATGAATGACTGCGGGTTTAAGCAGACAATATACATACAAATCAGGCTATTTAGCATGGCCATCTAGAGGGAAATGTGAGTATGCTGTTGGAGGTAATCCATAGACTGTATATACTATGTACAACTTGGTTCCACCTTCCGCCAGTATATGGATTTGAAGCCGAAAAGCTCTTGGTAAGAGCGTTTTTTTCTCCACTTCCTTAAACCAGCATTGCGCAGTAGCATTGTGCACATTCGGTGGGAGAGTTGCTGTGATGACGCTCAGCTCAAACAGTGTATTCCCCAGGTGAGCTATGCAATCTTCGTACACCCATAGGCTGTATCAAGTGTCAATCATAGAAAACATGAACCCCCTAATAACTTTTAAAAATGGCACTGTACAGAAAAAAGAGGACTTGAGCACAAAACAGTTTTACATAACTACATGTCAACATCGTAACCAGGGAGGAGAAAAAATATATTCTGTGTGATAAATTTCTAAAGTTTGTCCACAGCTCCATAGGGATTGCTGGAGGAGGCGGGGTTTATGACCTATACTGCAGCCCGTCACCAGAGGGTGCTGTTCTCAGAGTGGCTTCACCCAGCGAGGAGGCAGACGCTGTCTGTTCTACATACAGTCTATGAGGTAATCCAATAATGTTTCAACCTAACCAACAAAGTTAGTAACTAAAATCATATCTTGTGCGCACAAGATAGTTAGCTAATGGCACAAGTTTGAAGTAATTATTCAGAAGGATAACAGAAACCAATAGATAACTGTGAGAATGAGTCAATACCTTAACCAACAAAATCTTACTACACATGCACAAGATATTACATTGATGTTGTGCACTCAAGATAAACTTGTAAAATAAAATGTGCACTGTATTATTTTTGTGTAATTTTAAAATATTCTTCCAACAAGTTGTGTGCAAGATGCTAAATTAGGCACATAAGATATTAACTTACTTACACAAGATAAATTATCTTGTGCACAAAAGGGTCCTCACTTTTTTTTTTACAAGAAAAATATCTTGTGTTTGCATGACCAAAACTTGTTTCCACAAAGTAATGATCTTGTTTTATAGGATACTCAAGCATTTCTGAGCTTCTTCATTTGTAAGCACATGATAAAATTTTAGTTAATATCTTAAGAGCACAAGAGATAAAGTCATACTCACAAGATATCACATTGATGTTGCGTACAAACTTGATCCTGCAAGATCATGTGTTTGCAAAATACAAAGGAAAAAATATTGTCTTGCGCAAACAAGATTCGTCATTAAGTCATACAAGGTTATAGCTTGTTTCAAAATAAAATCTTGCACTCCCATAATTACTTGTATCCAAAACCCATGTGCATTTAAGATTGTTATCTTGCCTGCACAAGAGAGCGAATAACATCATGTGCACAAAAGGGAAAACTTATGCAACGAGGTCATTATCTTGTGTGCACAAGATACATCATTTTCTATTCTGAACCTGTTTAGACAAAGAGGGGTCACCAAAACAAATGTGAGCATTACTGGATATCTTGTGTTTAATATTGAGTCTCACACACAAGATTACAACGTAATTTTGTGTAATCATGTTGGCTATCTTTTCTCTAGACACCTAAATAATGGAATAATTTTCCCACTAAAGATACAAACCTCTGAAAAAAAACTGTTTCGACTGTCAAAACAAACAAAAATTTTCCAGCTCAAAACTCTGGATTATTCCTCAGATCCTAAAAGAGAGCGATAAAACCTCCATGCTGGAAGACGAGGCTATCTCAGGGCGGCAAACCAGACATAAAAAATTTTGCCAATTTAGGAAAAACTAGAGCATAAATTTAGTAACATGACCACTTAACAACCTTTCCAGATGGTGAAACCTGAACGTGAACCCAAAAACAGTCCATCAACAACTGACAAAGACGAACTGGACCGATAAACCGAGCTTCACAGAGGAATCACCAAGCAGCTTGAAGAGCTAAGAGCCCTTCAAACTCTTGGGTCCCAGTGAGCCTCGGCGTTCTTTTCGGAGGGTATTCTGTGACAGCTTGACAGGCAGTGAGACAATGCTGTGAGACGCAACAGCGCATTGGCAAGATCTTTTGAGACCTGCACCATTGAATCCTCGTAATTTCCTTATTTAGTTGTCCAAAAATCAGACTGGTCTGGCACTCCACCAAAATGATAGCTTTGCCGTTCAACAGCCGGTCTAAATCTGGCCTGAAAGTATTTTATGACTTATGAATGTAATAAAACACCAACATGAATTCATGCACCAGTCATCATTCCCTGAAAAACTCTGAGAACAATAGCTTAATTGCACTTTTGACAAATGACTATATCTCATTGTCGAGAAAACTAAAGGAAAAGTTAAATATATTCTGTCATTTCAGCTCTCAAACTGCAGCTGTAATAAAGAGTCAAAATGTGCAACCGCCTCAACTGATCTCAGACTTTAAACCTAAAGTATAAATAGGTTTTTATTAAGCATATCAAGTATTCAAAAGGAGCCACACTGGGTGAACTTCAAAGACACAGCCAAAGAGATGATGTCTCTCCCCACCCGGCCTCCCAGACCTCAATCCTAAGACATTCACATTTGGAGCACAGCAGCACAAGACATCACAAACCCACTCACTAGCTAATTTACAGCTCTGCCCATGGGGTGCAAAAGCCCGATTCACACAGCCAAAGCAGTCTCAAACAGGGTTATTGGTGAAACAAGCTGGGTCCCATAATAATGTTATTTTACCCCTCAGTGTCTGGTAGTAATGTGTTGTACATAATGTATTTCCGTCTGTCACTGTCTGATGATGTGCGATGTTGAATTTCCCCCTTCAATGTTCAGTGCTGACTCACTGTCGAATGGGTGTGAAGTTGCAGAAACATAGTGAATGGGTTTGGGGGGTTTCCAAGAAAATTACCCCAGACTTGAATGTACCTTTCCTACTTTCACTGTATTAACAGAAACTCTGATATTACCTATATATGTTTTAAAAAAGCATGCATGTTTTTATCTACTATGCCTTCAATGTTCCAGAAACATAGTGAATGGGTTTTGGGGTTTTCCAAGAAAGTCAGGGTGGAAGAGGAAAGTTGTGAATGCAGAGGAAAAGACTTCTTAAACATGATGGTTAGTTTATTAAAAATGGCATTGTGCATTGTAGTGTTGTTTTGAGAGAGTGCAAATCAAAGCATGCGCATGATGAAGAGCTTGGTGTTGGTATTGGGTTGGGGTTTTGGCCTGTACAGGGCTAAAGTAAAACAGATGTGTGTGGAGGTAGCTGTGGTGGTGTCCACACCTTCTGGCATCCCTGGATCAACCCAGAACAGTATCATGGCAGAAATAGACAAAAGAAAATTTACCCCTGACCCGAAGGTACCTTTCCTACCTCCATATGTTTTAAAAAAGGATGCATGTTGTTAGCTCCTATGCCTAGCTTGCTATCTAGCTGATGTGTTCTCCAGGTAGAAGGGAAGTAGGTGACAGACTTTAACCTTTGGAGGAGGTTTTACTTGGTCAAAGCAGTGGCTCAAACTGTGATACTTTCCAGACTCCGTAATGTTTGTGTAAGCGTACTTGGTACCATTTAGTTGGGCTTTTTAGACCGAAATATGTCATTTCTCTGAGGGATGTTTTTTAAAAAACAAAACGCTTCTGTTTTGATGAAATCAAGGCTAAGTTTTTTTTCATTCAGTGTTTTCATTATAGAGACAGCTGCTGTTGGGTGTCATAATGCCACTTCAGAAACCAATGAGTGACGTCAGTGGGACTGTGTTCATGTTTTATTCAGCCTTTGGCACAATCTCACAACACTGGAAAGAACAAAAAAGGGAAGGAACTCTAAATGCTGTAGGGGACAAACCACATTCATCCATCTTATAAAGTGTGGGGGCTAACAAAATCTCCCGGCAGGCACTACACCAGAGGCATTGTGTTCCAGCACTCACAACAAGTGCTCCCAGCCACCAGAGAAAAATGAAGAGAAAGGAAACAGTGTGCTACACCTTGAATGTCAAGTTGCAGTTATGTGCAGATTTGGCTTTGAAGGCTTTGAACAAACAAGTTTGGGCAACAAGGTCAAACACACCGGGACGAGGATTCTTATTTTTGCATGGAGTTTACCACAAGATGTCACAGTTTTATAATGGTTTGTTCACAGCCTTGTTTCCTTCTCATAAAAATACCCTGCCGCTATAACATGACTCTATTTACATTTATTTACACGTAACCTGCAAATTTCTGTTTTTATATGAAATGTGAATCAACAAAGAAAGAACATTTGGAAACAAATCCATTTTCCTCCGTCAAGGACTTTATTTTATTCTGGTCTCTTAGAAACTGACTCATCAGGTGTTTTTGTTTTGATTTAATTTATTCATTTATTCTGTTAAGTGCACTCCTAACTATATTTTCTTCATTATCCATGTATTTATTTACCTAATTTGTCCTCTAATGGAGCTCCACAGCAATCAGAGGGAGAGGGAATGGAAAAAAAAAAAAAAGTGGCTGCACTTACCTCAATATGAGTATGAAAAGAACAAAAAGTGACACACGCTCAGGGACATTTTGCAAGTTTCTTTTAAATCAGACCTTTGACCTGCTTTAAATACCAAATGAGTCTGGTATGCAAAGTTTTTGAAAATCAGTGTCATTGACTGTTTTTCAGATTTTCCTAAACAATTTAATTTGTCTGCCTTTCAAATCATTAAGAAAATTCAACTTTTTCTTTCTTTCTTTTTTTGTCAAAGTGAAGAGAAGGAAAAATCTACTATGACAACTTTTTTTGATTAAATGTCAATATAGTGCCTCCTGGATGCCCTTTTAATGGATGAATGTAGATTAAGTGCCCTCTGGATACCTTTTAGTGGATAAAATGTTGAAATTGTGCTTTTTGGAGGACCTTCCAGTGAACCAAAAAAATGTAAACAAAGTGCACTCTAGATGCCCTTGAAGCAGTGACATTGAAACAAAGTACCCACTGGATGCCCTGCAATAAATACAAGTAAACATAGTGCTCTCTGGATGCCCTTTAAGTGGATACAATTCAATCAGTGCCTATTAAAATATTTACAGTGGTTAAAATATCATTTAGTGCTATCCGGCTGCCATTCCAGGAAGTTAATGTAAACAAAGTCCCCACTGAGCAAAAAAAAAAAGTAAACAAAGTTCCTACTGGATGCCTTTCAAGTGTATAAATGTAAACACATTGTCCACTGGATGCCCTTTAATTTAACAAATGTAATCAAAGTACCGATTGAATGCCCTTAAAGTAAATAACTGTGAACAAAGTGCCCCCTAGTTGGCCTTAAAGCGACGAAATTGACCAAAGTATCCACTGGATGCCCTTCAAGAAATACATGTAAACATAGTGCCCTCTAGATGCCCTTCAAGTTGATACAATTTCACCAGTGCCCACTTAAAGTATTTACAGTCGTTCAAAGGTCATTTAGTGCTTTCTGGCTGCCATTCCAGGAAGTTAATGTAAACAAAGTCCCCACTGGATACTCTTAAACCAAAAAAAAGAAATAAAGTTCCTACTGGGTGCTGTACAAGTGTATAAATATAAACACAGTGTCCACTGGATGCCCTTTCACTAAACAAATGTAATCAAAGTACCGATTAGATGCCGAATAACTGTAAACAAAGTGCCTCTTGTTGCCCTTAAAGTGATGAAATTGAAACAAAGTACCCACTGGATGCCCTTCAATAAATACATGTAAACATAGTGCCCTCTGGATGGCCTCCCAGTGGATACAATTGATTATTGTGCCCTGTCAAGGGGTTTATTTATCGAATATAACATGATATAGTGCCTAAAACATGTTATACATCCTTCATTTCAAATTCTTTTGCATACAGCAACATAAACTTTAACTTTATGCCTAACTGATGCATTTCAGCAGCCTCTCACTACTAAGCTAAATAATAAAAAGAAGATTTGGAATTGACTCGCTTATTGACCAGCTCAGTAAAAAGGTACTTTAAAGTGTCCCTGTGCAACAGAATTCGGGATTGCAATATTAACAAAGTTAATACAGACATCAACTGCTCAGTGCAACTGCTTTGGCCATCTGGCAGATGCAAAGACGACTGATGAAAGTCTGTCTTGGTAGGAGGTCAGAGTTGATGGATGGGTTAAACATATGGCTCTCACTGCTCAGACAGCTGTTCCTGTACGATTTGACAAAGTATAAGTAGAAGACAACCCAGGGAAGACCACGGATTGACATCGGAGTGGGCGATCAAATGCCAAAGGGATTTACTGATGGTACAGTTTATCTTCATTTTCTTCTTATGTCTCAGTCATTCGCACATCAGCAATGGTGTACTTTTTCTGGAAAGAAGAAAAACCAAGAAAGCACACGGTAGTGCTGCTGTGTGTTGAGAGATTAGATCTAAATATTCTTGAAATCATATGTGTACTCTATGACAGTGTCTTATATTGAGAGGATCTTGTCTTAACAAAGGTGATAAGGTCTTTTGGCCCTCAGGTAGGACTGCATTAAATCAGACATGACTCTATAGTGGAAATCACTGCTTGCAGTATCAGCAATGTAGATTTTTAATTAGTGCACTCAAAGAAAAAGAGATTTAATTGGCTGTTCGCTTTTTGCAAAGCCTCCCTGCATTTATTTTGTTCTTATTTGAGAACAAACGCGGCACAACAGGCTTAGTCTTCGCTCACACATTCAGATTTCACTTTTACACACAGTGAACAGGGAAGGAGATGAGAGGGAAAGTAATCCCTTGAAACCCATTTGAAATGCAGGCCAAAACAACAGCCTTTTTGCAGATAAAAGTCAGCTTGATCCTCTCACAAACATGACCCCAACCTTGAATATCTGAGCTCATCCTGCATGCTATTGATGGATTCAATTGAAATGCTGCGCTGCATCACAGCAGAGAAACTATTTATTTTTCACCCTTGATAGGGGGAGCCATTATTGTGTTCCCTCCCAAGCTGAAACAACGGGGTTTATTATCAGCTGATTCTGGCTGAAGCATGCCTGTGCATATGTGTAGACACCCTGCACGCTCACCCTTCACGGAGCTTTATCTGTGCACCAGTCCAGCCTAGTTCCCTTTCATTAACATCCTAATTAACTTTTCATGAAGTCCATTTTCTCTTTGTTTAATTAACTGACCATCTCTCTGTTGGCCAACCCAAGCCAGACATGCTGGGAATAAGGTGGAGAAGAAGACCAAAACAAAACTTTTGATTCACACTGGGCCCCAAATGAAGCCTTCAGATCTGAACCTGAAGTCACCAACTTTTATAATGCACTGACTTACAAACATAGTTAAAGCGGTTAAGTTTTGCAGTCTCTGAAAGAAACATTTAACAAATTATTTATGGCATTACAATGGGAAGTCAGATTTGTAGATGCAAACTTTCGCTGCATGCTCAAAATGATAATTTATACCTCCGCCTTGGAGGGAAATGCATGTGTCTGTGTTTGCTTATCACATTCTATCACATTCACCCATTCAGTCATGCAGACGATTCCTGTCACATACGCACCAGTAATAGACTTAAATCATACAAGTGGAGACCTATTAGATTAACCTTTGTGATCTATTATCACCCCTCTCTGTCTTATCCGAAATGCAAGTACAATTTACCCCTGCGGCAGCCATTAGAGCCACAAGCAGTGACCCTGTATCCGTCTCCGGGATGGGAGAGACCTTCAGTAGGCAGCAGTGTGTGGAAATTAAAGGCCCCCCCCATTTCCCTTCCCTTCCCTTCATCCGTCCCCGTCTTTGTTAGCTATGACGGTGTTTTTTAATCAGATATAGCCGATGGGAAATACAGATCCCCTTCACGCCAATCCCCCCGCCTCGTCATGATGGCAGGCGTTGCCATGGTAACACAGGGAGAGACGTCAGTACGGGGCAGGAGTTGCTGTAATTGTGACTGATCTTGGGGAGATCTACGCGGGGGGAAGAGAGAGAGGCCGGGGCCTAAACCTCTGGCTGCAACCTGACCAACCTGCACAATGAAAGCGGTTCAGATTAACGGGGAGGAAAAAGAGACACAATGCAATCCAGTTACACTGAAGACATGAATATGTACCTATTAATAGCTCTATTTACGCAGCTGTATCACCTAACTTCATGTAGCAAGACTAAGTTTGTCTAAATTCTTTGAGTTCTTCCTTAAAAAAAGAGTCATGTACTACTTTATTTATTCTGTTTGTGACTATAAATCAGTATTCAGGTCTCAAAACTGAACCCATTTGTCATTCTAGCAGCTTTTCCATGCATACTATCACTTTTTCAATCCATCAGACTCGATTTGGAACAACTATTTGACACGAGCACTGTCAGCTGTTAAAGTATATTGTGCATAAAAGAGGCCATCTTTTTACAGAGGTTCAGCTGACACTGACTGGCACCTTATGATGTCCCCAGTGTCTGAGTTGACTCCATATCTTCAAGAGTGGCATTAAAAGAAGGTGGTATAACGGTATAAAACTTGGTTTTTAAATAGAACATATGTTTAAAAGAAAAAACACTTTTAACTGATATGAGTTTATGGAATTTTATGGGCTGTGATGTAAAAATATAACAGGACTTTGTACTCAAGGTGATATAAATGCCACAGTGAAAGTAAGGAGGAATACCTTAAAAAAAAGAGGGATTTGACTGGAAGGACCCCCTGAAGAAGCCTTATTCCTTCCAGTCTAAGCCCATCAAACAGCACAGAAAAGGTACAGGCCTAGACTGGCCCATGACTTAGACTGACCTGCCAGTCAAAGCAAATGGCAACAAATTAAGGGATTCATGCTATAAACTAAGACTCGCAGGTCTTGTTGCATCACGTATCAGAAGGGACACCATAGGCCTAGACTGGCTTCTCTTCACACCTGGTCCACATCCAGTCTAATACCTCCCAGCAATCTAAGCCTATAGCAGTTTGTAGAGGGAAACATGCTGCTATAGGCTTTGTATGGTAGGACTTGATTCATGAAGTTCCAAAGTAGGCTATGGGTGTAGACTGGCAGGTCTTGATACTTAGTCTACATCAAGTATAGTAAGTCATTGCAGTCTTAGCCTGTAGCAGCACATTTAAGAATGCATGCTGCTACAGGCTAAGACTGACAGGACTTGTTACACCAAGCTCTTGAAGAAGGATTTTGCCCTGAGCATAGGCTGGCAGGAGATGATATTAAGCACAAAGCAAATGTAAGTCTTGCTATTCTAAGCCTATACAGCAGATAAAGAGATGCATGCTGCTAAAGGCCTGAAATTCGTCATCGTTTTCTTCTGCTTATCTGGGTCCAGGTCATGGGGGCAGCAGCTTCAGGAGGGAAGCCCAGACGGCCCTCACCACCACTTCCACCAGCTCCCCCGGGGGGATTCCCAGGCTCCCCCAGGCCAGGTGAAATATACAATCCCTCTATCTGGTCCTGGGCTGGCCACGAGGTCTCCTCCCGGTGGGACATGTCTGGAACACCTCTAACGGGAGGCGTCCAGAAGGCATCCTAACCAGATGCCCGAGCCACCTCAGCTGACTCCTCTCGACATGGAGGAGCAGCGGTTCTACTCTGAGCGCCTCCCGAGTGTCCGAGCTCCTTACCCTATCTCTCAGCCTTAGCCCAGCCACCCTGCGGCGATAACCCAATTTGGCCGCTTGTATCCGCGATCTTGTTCTTTCGGCCATTACCCAAAGTTCATGACCATAAGTGAGGGTCGGCACGTGGATCGACTGGTTAAGCATCCGCATCACTGCTGATGCCGCTCCGATCCACGTTGATCTCCAATCCGCTTAAAATTGCAGGACTCAATTCTTGGTCCAATGCAAGTTTAATAAGTCCAACCAATTTAAACCTATGGCGGCATATTAAGAGTTTGCTTGACTCAAATCTGTAGATAGCCAAGGGAGACTCTGCCTCCTGTACTTTTTGCAAAGACTATCACCAAGCGGGTCCATGTATTGCAGGTACAATGATTGAAAGGGATATTTTGAGTTTTATTAGAACATTTTGGGGGGATTTTATACCTCTCAGGTCCTGTCAGTTCAGTACACACCCAGCAGCATTTTGAACAGGTTGAGAGTCATTAGAGACTTAATTAGGGCAGCCTGATGAGGAGGAATTGCAACCATTGAGCTGGGAAGTGGTGGATGCATTAAGAAGTTTTTCTGCATCACTTAGAGCAAATATGTGCCTGATCAGGGCAATAAAGGTGGGGATGGGTATCCTTGAATCTCGTTTTATATAGCAGTTAAAGGACATATCCTGCAACTATAGCTCCCAGATTCTTATGGGTGGCCTTGCATTTCTACAGAGTGCAATCTAAAGTTACTTTCTATAGACTAATAGACTAATTGGAGTCAAAGTAAAAAACAGCCTTTGTTGCATAAAATATTGACATGAATTATCTAATTATTTTATGATAAGCAAACCAGAAGCAATATGTGTTCACTTGCACTTAAGTATTGAGTATTACCGAGGAACTTCCTGATCAAAGACATATACTTTCATGCTGTTTCAAGGCGTATGTTCACTGTGAGTTTACATGGACAGGGATGAATGCAGTGGTGGTCTGACTCATTAGTTGGACCCCCTGCAGACTGACATCACAGTGAAACATGGACCTCATTACCTCCTAAATCAGGATGGATTGGAGCCAAACCTCCCCTCACCTCTGTGTGAAGGAGAAAGTGCATTTTGCATAAAAAGTAAATTATCAGAACCCACGCTGATGCTAAACAAATGCTGACATGGCAGATGGGCAACAAAAAAACTAAAGATATATATCATCAAAATTGATTTACAAAATTGGCAATCAAAAAGCAGAGTGAGTCTTTGATCCCTTGAGTCTTAGTTGTTATAAATTTAACTTTGGGGAACAGATGGTGGAGCAGACTAGAGTTGGGATAGCAACTTTGGAAATTTAATATGCATGTAGCTTGACTGCCTTTTGATATATGTCCCATTCAGTTCAGCTGCGCACAATATGGAACCCAACACAATCAATTTGCATTAATATTTATACCTTAATCCCACAAAACTCACTCATTGGACGCCATTTTTCAGTAAGTTTGAAAGGACAAAAGCAATCAGCATTAGTACATGCAGCAAAGTGAGGTCAATCATTTCGCACATTCATTAACCTCGTACCTCCAGAACAAATGATTGAGAACAATATTTGGACACTGGCAGCCACCATTAGTCTCCCAATTACATTAGACATTGGATCAGAGGGTTGAGTTTATGACAGAGGTACAACAAAGCTGAAGTTTTGCATCTTTATTATGTTTCTTGAACACACACTAAAAGATTAAACTACGACTTCCTTCACTTTAAGTTGTCGCAATCAATATTTTTGGCCGGACTCCCAGAATTATATTACCAAACGGTTTCTGAGCTGCCATTTTTAGCCTTCAGTGTGTTGGCTGTCGGTTTCAAGGATTTTTTTGGAAGCCAAAAGCGAAGATGATGAAGTTAGAGAAGCATTTGTAGAGCCTTTTTAATCAAAGAGTAACACAAAAAAGTCGCATAATTAAAAGGAAAGCCATTTTGGATGGTGTTTTTGCAAAATTAAACGAATTAAGCTAGGTTCTTTCTGTGTTAACTCAATGAAATATTCAAATCTGTAGCATCACCCCAAAACTGGCTAAGAAAGAGTTCAGCTATTAAACACACTTGCACTGAAATTTGAAATTTGAAATTTGAAATCTACGCTAAAGGCTGTACGTTTCTGGAGCCTGCCCCAAGTGGCTACATGAGGTACAGCAGTTTTTGAAACCTCTGCTTTGGCTAGATTAACCCCTTACAAATACAATACAGTACAAAGAGATATGTATTTATCTGGCTCTCATCTTATATGTTTATAGAAGAATTAAAAAGTCTGATTGCTGTGGAAAAGATCAGATAAATCTCCTTGTTACCATGTTGAGTCTGTATCCTTGGGTGGTTTCATGGAGAACATCACATGGAACTTCAGCCGTTGCCTTGGGTGGGATATATGAAGAGTTGTGAGTATGAAGCCAGGTAGATCCTGTAGGCCTAGATTTGCTCCGTCTCAATGATAGATGTTCTTCTCTTGAATAAACTTTTCTCCCAGCATAGATATCCCCCAGTAGTTGACAACATCTAATAAAAATATTAACAATAAGAGTAAAAATTACATGTTGGTTCTGTTTTATTGCACTTTGCCTCGGGCCAAGTCTACCAATACTTTGAGTTAAATTTAAATTAATTTATTATATAACCTCTGCAGTAACTTAGTTTTCCCCTATTCAACATAAATTTCTATTTCTAGGTCACAGTATATTATTTAGCAGCAATTTCTATCAGCAGAAGTGCTTGTGAGAGCTGATATATGATACTTTGAATTGACTTTTAAGTATCTATGCAAAACCTCCTTCATTTATGCATTGAGTGCAACTTTAATAGCCACGCCAATAAATAATTAACTCCCCATCTTGTAGGCTAAGCACTTGTTTAAGGGTAGTGTGTGTACGTGTGGGTGTGTTTGTGTGTGTGTGTGGCAGTCCATGTGCGGTTATACTATCATGATGTGACTGTCAGGCCAAAAGAGTAGATCTGACATGTGATGAATTGTAAGCATCTGCACTCAATTTTATCTTGCCTGTGGGCATCATTTTCAGTCAATATGAACTCTCAGTGTCCGTGTGTGTGTGTGTGCATGTGTGTATGTGAGGGTCTTATTTGAGAAAACCCCCGTGCCTTCCAGTCTTATCAGTGATCCTGGTAGTAGGTCAAGAACTGCATGTCTTTAGACTGAATGATTTTGATAAATTGCAATTAATACTGAAACAGTCCATCCAGTTGAACCGCCTGGAGGTGTAGAGAAGCTGTTGGTTGTGCAGCACCTGCAACTATGCACCAACAGCTGGTGCTGTCACCATTAACTGCATGTCTATGTAGATGGGTTCAGTGTACAGGTGTGACTTTCAACCATAGACTGTATATAGAATGGGTGAAGCAACCCCGAGAACAGCACCCTCTGGTGACAGGCTGCAGTATAGGTCATAAATCCCGCCTTCTCCAGCAATCCCTATGAAGCTGTGGACAAACTTTAGACAATTATTACACAGAATATATGTTTTTCTCCCCCCTGGTTGTGATGTTGGCATGTAGTTACTGTAATACTGTTTTGAGCTCAAGTCCTCTTTTCTCTGTACAGCTCCGTTTTAAAAGTTATTAAGGGGTTTATGTTTTCTATGATTGACACTTGACACAGCCTATGGGTGTGTAACTCACCTGGGGATATGCTGTTTGAGCCGAGCGTCACCACAGCAACTCTCCCGCTGAATGCGTACAACGCTACTGCGCAATGTTGGTTTCAGGAAGTAGAGAAAAATCGTGGAAATACTGAGAGCTTTTCGGCTTCAAGTTCGTACACTGGCGGAAGGCGGAACCAAGTTGTCCATAGTATATACAGTCTTTGCTTTCAACTCACAGAGAACTGACGTATACAAGAAGGTGGGCCTCTGACTTGGATCCAGTTATCATCTGTGGGAATGTTGTGTTCAGAGTTGGACGTCAATCGTGTTTGAAATTTGGAGCATAGACGAGTACATTCAACTCCCTGTATCAAGGCGCGATGTAGAAGTTGAATGCATTGTCAAGGATACAACCTTGAACAAATCCAGGAGGAGGAGTAATGTCTCAATAGGCCCATCCTCACCACATTTGACAAGAATATGATAAGAATATATAATGTAACTAGAAAAGCACTCGGGAGAGCGCAGACCTCCGCCGGGCAGCTCATGTCCCCCCTTATATTGTGATTCACACCAAAACGTTTACTGTTACGTGTCTTTTATTAACGTTTATTTGTGTTTAAACTGGTATGTTCACTGTTCATAATGTTCCTAAAACATCAAAGCTCATATTAGATACATAAATGCATGATTTATTATGCAATATTTGTAAACGTACACTTCTTTGTATCTTCATTGGTTATCTTTCAACATTGAAAATTCCAATGACACCCTTATTTTTGTGTGTTCTGGATCACAGTATCCAGAGACTCTGGCCATTTTTATAGAGTTAAATGCAAAAATTCCAAAATTTGCCCTATCTCACAATGATAAAGAATCCTTCAAAGAATTCCTGGATCTAGAAGGCGATCCGGATCACCACCAAAATTTAATGAAATCCTTCTGGGGCTGAGACACACCTCTGGTGAAAATTTCAGGTCAATCCGTCTGTTACTTTCTATGTAAAGTTGCTAACAGACAAACAAACAAACCAACCAATGCTACCAAAAACATAACCTCCTTGGCGGAGGTAATAAAGGGTGGAAAGATTATCTGGGAGAAGGATTGAAGGATGGAAGGAAAGATGGATGGAAGGCGAGGTGGTAAGGAGGGAAGTATGGAAGAAAAGGTAGAAAAAAAACTAGGGCCCTAATTAGCAGGTTTTAAAGTAAACAGACTGTGTTTTGTTTACTACATTAAATATGCAGTTTGATGTTTGATTTATGTTTCATAGGTTTAAATCCGTTTCCAGAGAGATCAGTTTAACCTCATTTTATTGTGGCTGAGTAAAAAGTTTAAGTTTGACATATTCCAACTGTGAGCTTAAAACTGTAGTTGAGGGCAAAACTTGATACAGTAATCTACTGTCGCACTTTAGGGTTGTGACCTGTGGAGGTGTAAAATGAATTTCACTTCAAAAGATGCCCATGAGGGAGCAGAACACACTCTCAGCTGTGACTGCGGGTCTTTCCGGGGCATGTGCCAATGCTTTTGGAGCGCATATTTCTAAGATAACATTTCCAGCACTGTGGGATAATTTTTTTGCAGGAAGCGTCTTGCTCCTGTGAACTTCGCATACCCGTCTGATGAGAAGAGTGAAGGAGAGGTGCCCTTGGTCTGTCTCCAGCATTATCAGAGCTCCTTGCCAAGTGAGGAGCCGAGGGGGTGATATCTCTGCACGTGTATGCACATACACAGAGCTGAGTTACACGCTGCAAGATGCACGAAAACCAAGTGCACACAACTGGCTTAGCCTGCATGTTTGTTGCTGTTCTTCCAGCTTTTGCCGTGCCTGTTTGCGGTCTATCTATGGTGTTTATCCAGCAAAGGCAGGCCAGGATCGGGGCTAAAATGATCAGACACAAGCCATGGATGTGCTGTGTGGAGGAGCAGGCATGCATAATCACTGACTTTGGCATCAAGTGAAGCTCTGGTGCCTTGAATCAGGTGCTTCGCCCTCTATCCTGTATCAAAAAGACTTGGATGTATCATGAAGGCATGTGAAATGAATGGTCAAGCAGTCTGGGAGCTTTTGAAGCCGATATAAAAAGCCAGTCTTTTGTTTTGTTTTTTTGTTTTTATAGCATAATGACACAACCCAAGGTCTGCAGGACGTGTGTACCCTATCAAAATACACTGTGTTGCTGTTAACAAGGTTGCTAGCAATCTCAAGCTAGCTTTTGAACTCTCCTTTTGATTTCCAAAAAGATTCCAGTGTGTTTTGTAAAGGTAAAAAAAAACTCCCTTCCGGAGCTTTAATGCAGTTATAGATAATGACAGGTGACATCTTGGATTCTAACTGATCTGTTTGTTGAAGGTGTTGCTGATCCCGCAGAATTAAGCTCACTCTGACAGCTTTATTAGCTTTTATTTGTGGTACAGATGCTGCAATGACATAAAATGCTGTTTCTGTGTGGGCTTTTACAGCATTACTTACAGCCCCCTTAAATACTGCCAGCGAGGTGGATTTCCACAGGACATGCAGTTAAATCCCAGGTGTTACAACCGCCTTACACCAGTAACTGACAGATAGACTTTTATTCACCCACACTGCTCAGCCTGGGGACTACAACCAGAACTGAGGGAACAGGACAGGTCTCACTGTTTTTGTGTTCTTCTTTTCCTCAAACTGTCCAAAATGTCGGCATGCTGCTCACCCTGCCCTGACTGTCAGTGCTTCACCTGTGATGAGGAAGCAGACTTTTAAAGCTCGGTACACGTGTTTACTCGCTGGTTTGACTGGCTATTGACGGCAGGATGGACGCGTAAATAAACAACCAAGATGGGCCCATCAATAAGATGGACAGCTTACTTTCCAAACAGGGGTGTGTTTTGTTGTTATCCAGAATCCAGTCTCAGCAGGGATGCTTCGCCAGTTGCTTACACAGTGTGACTTTACCTGTCTGGCTCTGTTTGCAGTGGACTGGATAAACGAAGTCTGGTAGAAGTAACGCTGACACAACAGGTGCTTTGTTAGCAACCGAGGCAGTTGCTCAGTAATCTAAGCAGCAGCTGCTCAGCTGGCTTTCACAACACTGGACGCATGTTAAAGGGATATTCCAGCGTAAAGTTAATTTAGAATCAAACACACAGAAACACTGAGTCAGACACCCCCTCATAGATGAATGTGGCCGAACGCTTGCTTCTCTAGTTATACCAACTTTAGTAACGACCGCACGATAGCAATACACAGCAGTCTGAGGAGCCATAAACAAACCTCAAGCAAAACGCCACTCTATAGCCACAAATAATGCTCAGAACAGCACCTAACTTCATCAACAGTACATATAGGGTCCCAGCCACAGTACTAGCCACAAAACGTCTTTTTAACTTTGCCTAATTTCTTAAGTGAAGAGACTAAACACAACTTACCCATTTTCCTCCAACAGCCATTTGTTTGTACCGAGACCTCAGGCCAGTCCATTACGATGCGCAGCGGGGTGACGCAGCTCAAGGAAGAACATTTATGATAATTTCTTTATGGAAATGCAATCAGACCGAGACACTAAGGCAGAAGAACTACTGCGCCTGCAGTGCAAAATGATTAATATGGTGATTATTACTTCAAGGAAATGATCAAGAAATGATTGTAAATGTTCCTCCTTGAACTGCGTCACCCCACAGCAGTCCACAATGGACTGGCCTGAGGTCTCGCTACAAACAAGCAGCTGCTAAAGGAGAGTGGATAAGTTGTGTTTAGTCTCTTTGCTAAAGAAATCAGGCAGAGTTAAAAAGATGTTTGATGGCTAGTACTATGGCTAGGACCATAGATATAGAGTCTAGATATAGACTGTATATAGAATGGACAGAGTCTGCCTCCTCGCTGGGTGAAGCCACTCTGAGAACAGCACCCTCTGTTGATGGGCTGCAGTATAGATCATAAATCCCGCCTCCGCCAGCAAAGCTTATGGGACTGTGGACAAACTTTAGAAATTTATTACACAGAATATACATTTTTCTCCCCCCTGGTTGTGATGTTGACATGTAGTTACTGTAAAACTGGTTTGTGCTCGTCCTCTTTTTTCTGTGAAGCTCTGTTTTTAAAAGTTATTAGGGGGTTCATGTTTGCTATGATTGACATCTGATACAGCCTATGGGCGTTCAGGGATTGCGTAGCTCTCCCAGGGGATACGCTGTTTGAGACGAGCGTCATCACAGCGACTCTCTGCGACTGCGCAACTGGTTTCAGGAAAATGAAGAAAAATCCCGGAAATACCGAGAGCTTTTTGGCTTCAAACCCGTATACAGGTGGTAGGCGGAACCAAGTTGTCCATAGTATATACAGTCTATGACTAGGACCTTATATGTACTGTTGATGAAGTTAGGTGCTGTTCTGAGCATTATTTGTGGCTATAGAGTGGCGTTTTGCTTGAGGTATGTTGATGACTTAAGTGTGTAAAACTAGAGAAGCAAGTGTTAAGCAACATTCATCTCTCGAGTGGATGTTTAACTCAGTGTTACGGTGTGTTTGACCCTAATTTATTTTTATGCCGGAATATCCCTTTAACATGAGCTGCTGAGTTAAAATACTCACAAAAAAAGCTCTTTATAGAAGAGTTTGATTTCAAAGTGGTGTAAATTTTATTTAATTTTAAAGCTCTAGTCTGGAGCATAGAGATGACAAGATAAACAGAGGCTGCTTCGTCCACAGGGGGCGCAAAGTTGACACAAATCAAAAGTCCCTCTCAGGAGCTATCATAACAGAAAATCGTGTAAAGTCTCTCACAGTCAATCGTGACTGAGTTTTTCCAGGCAAAGCTGTTAAATTTTGTTAGCATTCTTTATGGGTAGACTAGCCAACATTAAGAGTAATCCCCAGCACTTGATCCTGTCCTGCAGTTTTAGTATCTTGAATCTGAGGGAGTGAAAAAAACATTGAAAACTCTGTCAAGACAGACACAGGAAAGAGCCAGGAGAAGAACTGAATGTTCTGGCAGGATTCTATCTCTTATTACCATCTGATTTTATACATTATCCCTCACATAACACAGCTTGAACGTAACAATTTTCCTGTGAGTACTGGGTGAAATTATATATTTTTTCACCTTTAATTGACCATTATGGGAAACAGGATTGAGGTACAAGATGAATCAGTCCACGAAAGCTTTTTTTTATTATTCACATGTTAAAACAGAGCATGATCCATATGCAAATTTATTATCACTTTTTCACTTACAAGATTCCCAATGCTAAATCCTTAAATACTATGTGCTATAGTTTCACTCGACTCTCCACAGAGAGTTTAGAGGCTTGGGATACTCGAAGAAGGAGAAGAGGCTCTTATATTAAGAGTTATCTCGAGAGTGTAGTGAGACTTCAAGCTGTTTAAAAGCCTATATGACACCACGTAATGGCTTCACTCAGAAAAAAAAAGTCATACACTTTAATATGCTGTAATGACCCGTCGTTATGGTGCTCATTCCTGGCATAGCACCACCCACCGTGTCCCTTAGTAGAGGGGTAATTAGCGAGAAAAGACAGAACCACCTGAGAAAAACGCCTTCTTCAGTGAACCCAGAATAGCTTGAACACTGTTAGGGGCCGTGCTGAGCCTTTGGTCACGTCCACCCTCCAAATGTCCAAATGAAAGTCACTGATTTTTCGAACGCTTTTGGAAAAGAGGGGTCTCTTTTCCCCGATCAATCCTAAATCTTGATTAAAGGTGCCCTATTATGGCATTTTTCATCCACCCACAACAGTAAGTTTGAAGTTTGTTGTTTAAAACACCAGTTTGTTTGTGGATATCAGCCAGCCTGTACCCCCTTCTTTTTGAGCTCCACTAACATGGGTTGATTCTGCGCCTGTACCTTTAAATGATAATGAGCTGCATGTAAACATCTTCCTCCCCAAGGCCACTCTGAGCTGCCGGCACCGCTGTGGTGGTCCAAGAGCGGTGGTCTGGAGATCTTCGGAGGACCTCTTCAGAGGACCTCCAAACCACCACAGCTGGAAGCACCAGCCTGCCTCCATGCCCCCGAGGAACACCCGCTGCTCACGGGAATAAAAGTTAAAAAAAAAAGTTGTCTATGTCTATGTATCTATGTATCTATGTATCTATCTATCTATGTATCTATCTATCTATCTATCTATCTATCTATCTATCTATCTATCTATCTATCTATCTATCTAAAGTTGGGTCCCTGACACGGACAGTCGGTACGGATCCAGGTTTTATCTTCAGCTTCTTAGCAAATCCGTCTTGAAACTGCCCCTCGTTGGTAAAACAGTCCGTGGTCAAATGGTTAGCACATACTGTACATACAACATTTTCAGAGTTGTTGTGGGTCCATTTCTTCAAACGGGTCCTCAGATCTTCTGATGAAGGAGGCAGAAATAGACCCCTGTCTTCGTTTGGCTCGTAGCTTCGACATGGTTGCTGTACCAGAGCGGTGTGCATGAGGGGAAAAATGGCGGACGCTACCTCAGCGAAGAAGTTTTAGAGGGCTAATGATTATCGGGGGTGCTGCCACCAACATGTAGGAGGGATTTATGTGGTTATGACATCAGAACCACGCTGCTTTTCTATTCGCCCGTTTGCGCTCATGTTTTCAGAAAAGAGGGGAAAGCAAGAGAGGGAGAGAATGACATTTTTTCAAGTTGGGAGGGTTGTCGGCTTCGAGGGCAGTGTTGGGGAAACCCTGGAGGGGATGCATATTATTGATAGAAAACCACCCAAAGGTGTATTTTTCATAATAGGGGACCTTTAACTAAAGCATGCCCATCCTCGGTACCCAGTTCACTGTTAGTTGAAACAAATTTCCCTTACAACGGTGAATGTCTTACGCATCCAGCATAACAATCCAACACCAGGAAATAATCCCATCCAATCACTTTCAACTTTCCTCATCTAAAGAGTGAACCTCATTAAGTTCCACCAAATACCAATCATCTTCTCTATTTGGACACCCCGGTGCTTTTTCCTCTTCCTGTTATCATCTCGCAGCCGCGCTTCTAAATAATATTATGCTCAGCCTGTCGAAAATGGACTTAATGGAACCATTCATATTGAAATTCATTCCGGCGTTCACCTTCTCTAACTAGGTCTCGAGGCTTTCCTGCATCTTGTGAATTTAGTCGGTTAGTGGAGCAGAGAGTGAGGAAATGAGGCTATTTGCATCAAGAACACCGCAAACTTTCCCCCCTCGATGACAGGGCCGGGATAAAAAGACTCCTAAGAGCTATATATAGCCGCGCTGGTCTTCTGTGTTCTCTTTGACCTACACAACTCCTTCATCCCTTAACAGGCTTGAAAGAAACAAGCGGCGTACTAAAATCATAATGCCATTAAACTTGGGGAAGTTGGAGCCATTACGCACGGCCAAATTACTCTTATTAACCCCCAACAGCAAGGATTAATCATAGTACAAGTGAAACTTTGCTCATGAGCATGCCCACACATATACACAAGAGCACCCACACACAGATAAGGGCATACACAGCGTAGAGTTGCGAGGCGCAGTGATTAGTCTTGTCATTTAGATGAGAGAGATCGTAATGGTTTCATAATTTTGACCTTGGCCAGAGGCTTGATTATACACATGGTCCTAATGTGCTGAGGCAAATGATGATTGATATGAATAATGACTCCTGCCAATCATTGCTCATAATACCTTCAGGAGCCAGGTGGCCGACTCTTATTAAGCTAACCGAGCTGGATGGGGGGGAGAACACGCCGGGGTAAGGATGCTATCGCAATCTAAATAGAGACATGTTGTTTGTATTGTTTAATTCTTGATATCTTATGAGGTTTTACATCTTTTATTTGATTCTAAAGCAGTTTATTTAAGGATTCAAGAGCTTTTGGAAACAAAGTCGAGTTTTAAAGTCTTCTACTCATGTAGAAACAAGCTGTAAGGCCTAACTGGGATTAGAAGTGGCTGGCAAAGGCACATTTTGGTCAAGGCAGGTCAAACTAGTTGACTAGAGCTGAGCAGGTGTTTGTGGAAAAGCACCAGCAAAGTAAAGCTAGGTGTATTGATACCCATTGGTGGCTTCTGGGCCATGTGGGCTGGTCTAATAAAAGAGCTACTAGGGCTCAAGTTGATGGTAGAAACAGAAAGTCATCTAAACTCTAAATCCACCCCAGCTTGTTGTGTAGTTGCAGGTAAGTCAGGGTGCCCATGCTGATCAAGTCCAGTCAAGCACCCTTGTGACATCCTGAACAATCACCAGGGATTTTCACCGTACGCCAATTCCTACCAGATCCATTTGTGAGGCGAAATTCCGTGGCAGATTACAGACAGCGGGAATCACGAGAACTCACAAGAACCCGCGGATTCACGCACAATCCGAAATATCAAGTTGTCTTTAGCCACATAGGCTAACCATACAAGTAGTTGATTTTGTTCTTCCAGAGGAGGAAATCTACTTCTAGACTTATAAAATCAGCATCCTCTCATTCATGGTGTCATCAGGATGAAATGCTGTCTGAAAACCTTTCACTTGTTCGTCCACGCCCGTTTGCATGGTGTGAAATACAATCTGCCTGAAACACAGAGTGTTTTATTTTGAAAAGAAGCCGGATGTTTTATTTTGTGTCTGTGCCCGACTTCCTTTCCAGCACGGACTAATCTGTGCTGAACTTATCCGGCATGCTCCGGCGTCCGGAAAAAATAGAACACTTGCGATCAGCTGCAGAACGGAAAGAAGCCGGTAGAAATTGACACATTAACTTGAATGGTTACGATCAGCTACGATCGGCAATTATGTCCTTTTCCTAGCCGTTCCAGATGCGGTGGAAATTGCCAGCCAGTCTTATCCTAAAAACCAACACCCTGCTGATCCAAGATACCACAGCAAACTTATAGAGATTTTGTGGAGTCCATGTCTTCTCAGGTCAGCGCTGTTTTGGCATTGAACCGAAGAGAGGAGAGCCCAAACAATACTGGACAAGTGGTTGCAATAATCAGGCTGATTGCTGTTTATTTTGCTGTAATAATTTGATGCAGGGAGAACACTTAGCCCAGCAGCCTTCATTGTACATTTGGGATATAATACAAAGGCAGCATATAAAACAGACAGCAGCATCATAAAAACAGGCAGCGGAATAAAAGCAGATGAACAATAAACATGTTTGAAAAATCTGTGGTATCATTTTGCTGGAAAATATGTGTTTGTCTGGATGAGTTGATTTAAAAATAGACGCTGCGCTCGCCTTATAAATTTTTCAGTCACTTTTAAAAGCCAAATTTTCCTCCACTGGCTGTATAATTACTTTTTCCTCAAGCTAGATTGCATCCGGTGAGACTTTTTATCCCTTCATTTCTACTTAAAGGAGCTGTAAGGGACTTATTAGTTGTGTTGTTTTTTTGAGACCCCTTTGGCTGAAATAAGATAAAGACCATAATTGACTGTTATTAAGATGTTGCTCTAAATAAGGGGCAAGTCGGGACTAAGAGTTTGATTGTTGATGCCAGTATTTGACATTTGGCGGATTACCTGTACTGAACTTTGATGTTACAGACAACCCATGAAATTAAAGCTCCAGTAAGGAAGTTTTTGATGTTTACGAAATACACTGGAATTCAAAAAAAGACCATCACTGACAAAATTGACAGTATTGCGAGGGGGTAGGCATCAGCTGAGCAACTCGCCTATACCTCTCCTAGAAAACTATCTGATTGGTTTGACTTCCTGTTATTTAAAGGTACTGTAAGTGCTAGCTAACTTCGGTATATAATATCGGATGATAGGTTTCAGTTATGGTTTGACATTTGATACAGGTTCTCCAGCGAAGTTTTGTGATTCTGAATTTGGCATTAAGTTTTTTTTTTTTATTTTGTCTGTAAATGCTTATTGGTAACAAATATCAGTTATCAGTCTCATGAACAACTAAAATTCAGTATCCGCCCTGAAAATCCGGTATCAGTCCACTGTAAGGTGCCACCTTCTGTAACAGAAATGGACAAACTTGCCAATAAATCAATCCTGGTGTTTGTAGACTCAGACAAGGGCAGTAGTCCAATTAAATCCCGTAATCGAGCTATAATCCTAGCTTGGGGCAACTGCGCATTTAAACATACGTAAGGAAGAACAATTATGATCATTTCAGAAGGTTCACCGTGTCTGCAGTGCAAAATGATTATTATGGTGATTATTACTTAAAGGAAATGATAAAAATGATCATAAATTTTCTTCCTTGAGCTGCATCACCCCACAGCAGTCCATAATGGACTGGGCTGAGGTCTCGCTACAAACAAGCGGCTGCTGGAAGAGAGTAGGTGAGTTGTGTTTAGTCTCTTTGCTAAAGAAATCAGGCAAAGTTAAAGAGATGTTTGGTGGCTAGTGCTGTGGCTAGGACCCTATATGTACTGTTGATGAAGTTAGGTGCTGTTCTGAGCATTATTTTTGGCTATAGAGTGGCGTTTTGGTTGAGGTTTGTTGATGGCTCCTCAGACCGCTGTGTATTGCTATAGTGCGGTCGTTACTAAAGTTGGTATAACTAGAGAAGCAAGCAGTTGGCTACATTCATCCCTCCCTCGAGTGGGTGTCTAACTCGGTGTTACAGTGTGTTTGACCCTAAAATAATTTCGGAATAATTTCGCCGGAATATCCCTTTAAGCTAGGTTGTTCAAAATTGAGTGAAATATCTACAGAGGCTGGATTACAGATTTTATAACCATTGTTCCTGTAAGTCTCTTTTTTTTATCCTTTTGATATTTTCATTTTTTTGTTCAAAGACACAGAAAACAAAAACAAACAGAGATGAAAGACAGTCAAAATCAAAGAAGATAACTGTATTTAAAACGACTTGTGGTGATTTATTACTTTGCCGTCTCAAAAAACCCAATTTTAGACATCTCCTTTCTTAATATGTCTGTTTTTTCGATATCTCCCACACAGGCTGCAACAACAGCTATTTACCGTGGGTGATGTTGCTGCTTGTGCTCATCCCTGTTCTCCTGTATCCCCTGACATGCACCCCCACCATGCCTCTCCTTATTTCCCCGGAGCACTCAGGTGGAAAAGCATTTCATTTGCTAAACAAAGTGGAAAGCTGCCACAACACAGGGGCGTAATGGAGAGTGATGGGTGGCCCCCATACCGGGAACCATGGGACAAAGCATAATTACTCCTCCTGTCAACATTGCAGCATCCATCACTTACTGCTGTCGCTCGCTAAAGGCTTCAAGCCACAACGCTTCCAACAAGACAACTAGTCCGTGTGTGTGTGTGTGTGTGTGTGTGTGTGTGTGTGTGTGTGTGTGTGTATGTGTGTGTGGGGTTCATATTTGTGGCTTTGTTAAGGATTGTTAGCGCTTCATCAAGCATTCCTGTGCGTGTGCGTGTGGCTGCTTCACGGTTAAGCCGGCTGAAACCTCGGACTCGCTCAAGATGCTGATTGCTCCAAGTCTGACTGTGACGCGTACAACGAAAACAAGGAGAATCCATTTTGTAGGGTGTACCGAGCGAAATGCCCCAGTCATGGGAATAAATTCCACATGAAGCTGTGTTTGTTTTTTGCAACCCTGAGCTCAAAAAGCTTTCTTTTGTAGATGCATACAGACACCAGGAGAGATAATCGAGTGTTTCATTTTCTGGATAGAATGCATTATTAAAGGGGTAAAGTTTGCGTGCAAAAGAAGTTTTGTACTTGGTTAACTTGAATATTTATTGAGGGTAAAGTAGGGGCAAATGACCATTAACTGGAAACTTATTTTTATCGTATAAACTATGATTTTAAATCTCCCACAAGGAGTTTTATAGAACAGAGTTAGAGTCATACTGATGCACTATTTGTCCTGCCAAACTGAAAATGACCAACAGTGAGAGGACTGACTATAAAGGCCACTTTTAGTCTGTTAATGCTGCCATCAGAGCAGCGTGAGACAAGGCAGTCGATACGATACATCTTTAGCTATTATTTTCCCAGACATAGATTTTAAAGGCATGGTTGACGATCTGAGAAGCAGTTGAACAAAACTGAGCCAATGAGGCAGATTTGAAAAAAGCGTCCCACCCTCCACATGCAAACCTCTCCCCTCTGTGCTCCATGATAACTCCCCCCCAAACCTGTATCGCCTCCCCACGACACACCCCCTCTGGCAGAGCAAGAAGCCGGCCAGTAAAAGATCGTACGCTAGCTTCAAATAGGATTCACCATGTCTGATTCCTAGTGCTTAGCCGCAGTTAATACCAGCTGTGCTAGCTAGCACATTTCCTCTTCAACTCTGCACTTTCTTCTGTTGGCTTGTGTTTTCTTAGCACTTTTGGCGGTGGGGCAAGCAAAATAGTTTCTTTTACGTCCTTCTAAGCTAAGCCACTACGCTGCTTTTAGCTGCTCAGAGGAGGGCTGGGAGAGGACGAGTCGGAACTACCGGAGAGGGCTGTGTCGAATACAGCGAGATGATTGGATGAAGAGGCGGAGCAGGAGATTGACCAATAGGAGCTGTCCAGGACGGATGGCTCCCATTGGTCAATGTTTTTGAAGCCCTGCACCTGCTAGGGTGAACCGATTTTTTCAGTTCTTTTTTCTCTTCACTTTGTGGAGATCGCACTATAGTACCATGATCGCCATATAAACGAGGTTCATAATAATTACCAATCTCTCCAATCGTCAACTATGCCTTTAAGAAGTCCAGATGCGGTTTAAAATGTCATGACTTTTAAGTGGAAATCACTGCATGGGGTCAAAACCGCATCCAGAAACCATTGTTCATGGACATTGTTCCTGCAAGCATTCAAAGAGGAAACCATTTGGTCCGATGAAACAAATCTGGTATTCATTTTGGAAATCTTTGACTCTAGTTCCTCCAAACCAAAGGGGAAGGACCGGATGATTTTTCAAGCGAGTATGTGTGATGGGACTAGGATGCATTTTTTTACCTATGGTATTGGTAGATAACATATTCGGGAAGGCACCATTCATGATGAAGAAGCTATACAACTTTGAAGTGCATGCTGAAGTATTTTTCAGAGAAAACCTCTCATATATCAGTAGGACAATGCAAAACCACATCCTGCATATTGTAGTAGAGGCATGGTTTAAAACGAGCGTGGGATCGGATCAAAATAAACTCCTTTCCTTGTTCTTAAAGGGAACAGAAAGTGACCCCCCAGTGTGATAGCCCTGCTCAGTCATGTGTTTTAATACTTTTTGGCAAACACAGGAGACTTAAGGCACCGAGGACTGATACTTATCATGCTTCAAATAACAATAAACTCAGGTCTTTGTTTGTTTTAGTCTTAATCGTGGGATTTATTGGCAACGCATAAAAGAACAGATCTCTCCAGCCTTGCGATTTGAGTTCTCATAAGATCCAAAATGTAGCTTAATTAACAATGGCTGACTTAATGCCACAACAACAGCTGTCCCTATTGGCCCTTTCTTGCTTTATTTGCAGTAACTTAACTCTTCTCCCACTTCACATGTCGTCAAGCTTTCCCAGTCCAGAAGCAGTCCGATGAGTTTTCTCGCCTTCTGCGCCATCTAACTTCCACAGCTGCTCTCACTGCCCCGATCAGCTCACTGCGACCAAGACCAGGATGAACTCCTGGTACTTTTTTTTCAACTACATGAACTGCCTTCTTATTAATATTCTCTGCTGACTCCTAAAACTTTTACTGGCCGAGACCATTGGTCACGCAATATGTCATTCCTCCAAGTCGCTCTGTGCTCGGTAAAAGTGCTTTCAAGTTTTTGCTCCCTCATCTTTGAATGACCTACACAGTCACTTTAAACTGGGTTATTTCATGTGGGTGGGAGAGTATAAAATCAAGTTTAAAGAATATCTGACCTCTGGAAATGTCCTTACAGAGCAACATTTTGTGTATTTGTGTTACTTTTTTGTTTGTTCAATTGTGAAATCTTTTTTATTTTACACTCTTGGCCAGAGCCACAATGAAAAATCTGTATCATTGTGGGATGAAAAGCTGTCTTTCAAGCTTTGGTGTCTTGCATCTTTTTTTTTTTTTACACATCAAGCGCAATGCGATTGTGCGACTTTCCAGGGGGAAAAAAGACGCGTCCCAGGTGGAAGTGAGAAGACTGACACAACAGCCGACTGACTGTTTTTAGTTCTGATTAGACACTAGTGTTGAGATGTCTGTCTGTCATGATAGCATGTACTGAGTCGGGGCCAGTACCAGATAAGCACATTAAACTATAATCCATAAAAAATCATCAGTGATCTTTCAATTTGTGTCAATTATGGCGCCCCCTGTGGACAAAACAGTCTTGGCTTATCGTATCTGCCACAGCTTTGTGATCTTATTGTTGATATTTGCTGTGTCTTCATCTGCTCAGGTGGCACCTACCCCTCATGTAAAAATCATCAGTGAAGTCACTGATGGTTTTTTTTCTGCTTTTGGATATCGTAGAAAGGCATCAACATGAATTTAACATTATTTCATGATTGTCAAAAAAAAAAAAAAAATCCTCATGGGAGCTTTAATGCCTGAAATCGATTACTTGTAATTTGAAACACAAACTCTAGTTATTTTTTCAGTGTATCCCAGGACTATACAAAGTGAGCTAATTACTGCTACAAATATCTTTCCGATGTAGCTAATTTTGATTACACCAAACTCAAGCAGTGAAACATCCCTCCATCTGAAATACCGTCATACATCTGTCTTTTCTGTGCATCATTTATGTCATCTGGTAAATATTGAATATGTTCCCATCACATACAGGTCAGTGTTCTCAAAGGAACAAACAAGGGGAGGTTATTTGGGGTACCGGACCCAAAATAGACAAGAACTTAGTCATGCATTTTTTATTTATGTCAGAGTTCAGTCTTGAAGTACCCTAGTTTCCCCATTTTGTATCACTTTATGGAGTTATCCCCTTTGAAACTAGATCTCTCACAGATTATTTTGGTGTTTTCTATGGTGGTAATGCATGCATGTTAACATTTGCTTGAAAAATTTAGTTTATTATGCATCTGTGTTTAACATAATGCAAACAGGTGTAGTTGCATATTTCACGTTGTTATGATATGCAGATGACATTATATTGTTTCTGTGTTTCCCTCACATTTGCAGATTGTCGGAGAACCTGCACAGCTGGTGCACTCAGCACTCCCTTTTTCTCCCTTTCCATAACCTGAAAGAAAATGTTTCCATTTTTTCTTTTCACAATCAGCTTTTGTACCCCCGCTGCACAGTTCTGTACCAGTGTTAGAATAAAGGTGCGCATTATCAAGTGGGTATATAAATAAAAGCAAACTTTACCCAACTTGCCTGCAATCAAGAAGTCAGCCTTTTGTTCAAAGCATTTGTTTCAAACACTTTAAAGAACAGACAACCCTGGCCTTTTACAGGATTATTTTTAATGCAAATGTGAGGTGTGGAGTGACCAATTGAGAAACACTTATCCTGTGTACGCCGGCAGAAACAAAGGCATTTTTTGTACTCAGCATGTAACCTTTAACTGCTAGTTTAGATGTACCTGTTAAAGGACATCTTTATAAACTGAGAAAACAGCCTACAGTTCTGTTTGCATTTTAAAAACAGTACATAATGTGGTAAGAACAGTCCAAACAACAGGAAAATAACACGCTCTGAGGATTTCTCTGGGCTTTTGTCAGAGTCAAGGTGGTTAGTTACTTCTGGCTTTATGACTGTCCTCTATCTCTCAAAGCAATTTGAAGCAGCCATGAGAACAGAGCAATTATCCTCTCCTTTCTCCCGGCTGTAGAAATGAAGGATTGACTCATCTAGACTGTCTCAAGGGGTCCATAGCTGTCCGGGCCTGAGACACCTTCTCACCAATAGTCACCTTTCCCCCTGTATCATTAAATTGTGCTGAGCTGCCCACAGTTTGTCGTTGTTTGCTATTCTTCGCTGGGGCATCCAAAGAAGAGAGACTAATCAGTAAAGGTCAGAAGTGTTTTTTATCAAACAGATTTAGAGAAAAGAGAAAGATGCGCTCAGCATGAACTGAAATGATATTTTAGCTGACCCGATTTAAGGTCAGCAGAAGAGGAAAGACACACGCTTGTACATAATGCATGGTGATAATATCAAAAGTTTGAGGATAACAATGGAAATATAATGCCTAAAGGTCCTCACACACTGGGAACGACGCAAATAAATGACACGAAATTACAAAATATTAGGAGGCGAATTTTGACGCGCCTGACTATACACATCAAGCGCGATGTGATTTTGCGACTTTCAAGGGGGGAAAAAAGACGTGTCCCAGGTGGACGCGAGAAGACTGACACAACAGCAGACTGACTGTTTTTCAGTTCTGATTAGACACTAGTGTTGAGATGTCTGTCTGTCATGATAGCATGTACTGAGTCGGGGCCAGTACCAGATAAGCACATTAAACTATAATCCATAAACATAAGGTAACAACTGAGACCTAATGGTGCTGTGACAGCAACGTGATTGAGTTTGAGACCGTGAAAATACATATGGTATGTTGTATCTGAACAGGTTAGCTTACAAGCTAAAGTTACTTAGCACAGATGAAAGTTCAAACAAAGACGTTTAGTAAACTGTTGAAGCACAAAAACCATCGTCATATGAGAAATCGGACGCTATGACTCTCCACAAGTTGTCCTTCAGGTCGTTATTTTATCAAAAAGCACTCTGTTCTCCGACACATAAACAATCAGCTGGTTGGCCATGTTGGATATATTGGGGAATCTGACGTCACAACAACACGCAATCTGATTGGTCAGAAGTGGACACACAGTATGCGAAACTAGAAAATTCGAGCGTGACACGAAGAAATTAAATGCTGCAATGTCGCAGGACAGGAAAATGTTGCTGATGCGAATGCTTGTATTGACAGGATACGGGTTCAAAAAAAAAATATTGATGTATGTATGTATATATATATATATATATATACCCTCTCTTAAACCCATGCAGTGGTAGGAATTGGAAAAAAAATGTCCTTATGGGTGTCCTTCTAGCAGGTAAACACAATAAAAAGCTCTGCTGATGCACTCCAAGTGGATAAATTGCAAACACATGGCCTTGTGAATGGCATGACTAGAGACAAAATGTAAACAAAGAAGTAGAAGAAAGTAAACAGAGTGACACACGGATAACCTTCGAGAGGATAAAATTTAAAGTACCCTCTAGATTCCGTCGAAAAAGAAGTAAACAAAGTGCTACGTCAGGGTTGCAACAGGGGTGGCCAATCAGAATTGGGCAAGTGCCACCACTAACCAATACCTTTGCAACGCCTCTGCAGAAAACAATTTTTATTACATTTTTTTTACTTGTTTTTATGTTTTATTTTAACAGTGTGTTTTTTTGTGAGAAGCATTTTAGAAATATTGTGGTTAAAAAAATCTCAGATATTCGCTGTAAATTATTGTTTTTATCTCCTTATCCATCAGCGCATATCAATCAAAACTACCAACTTCAATCGTCTGAAATCGGAGGTACTGTAACAAGTCCCAAAATGTCCATTCTCTCCCTCTGTCTGTTGTACAATTGCTGACGTCACGCTGACATTCTCATAGTGACATTTTGCTGGCTGTGTCTTCATTGTGTTCGCTAACATGTCAAAGTCGGACTCCTGTCTTGGGGAAAAAATATGCCACCACCTTTTTGGACCCTCCTCATTCACACTTCAACACCTGCACCATATGTCACAAGTTATAAAGAAGACATATGACTTTTAAACCCCTGGCATCAGATTTGATTCCGTCAAATTCCTCGGTAATGTACGTCTGAGTGGCTGTAATTCATTTATTCAGCAGTTTTGCATATTATGGGATTTGCATGCAAATCAGCCTTTAAGTTCCAGAGCCACAGAGCTCGACTGCCCTTCTCAGCGGCAACACTGAGGCGGGACGTCTTTAAAACAGCAAGGGAAGCAGCAACACTATTATCTAAAGTATTAAAAATCATGACATTGCACAGCGTAAATCCCATGCCCAATTGTTCCTTCTTAAAGACGGTGCTGGGCAGGAAAATAAAGCCACATGGATCCCTGCAGGGGCTTAACAACTCGTTCAGCAGTAACAGGATGGACCAAAGATAATGCCCTTGTAAGGCTGAGAAAGTCCTCACCCTCGTCGCCTTTCTTTAAACTGTGGATGACACAAAACATGTCAAGCCAAAGATTATCTGATCACTGCCTCTCATAACATTTTCAAGCTGTGCCTGGTGGAGAATAGGAGACAGGCGGAAAATCCTTAACCTCATTAGACACAGAGGATTCAACAGCGCTGCGGAAAATTGCTCAATCAGACCAAGAGGAGCTTTGCGCGGCCTCCTATTTTCCCGGCGAGGATTACGAATTCAGGAAGTGGCACTTTATCATTTGTTATTTGTTGTTTTGAGAGTGTTGAAAGCCAGATGTTCAATCAAACGAGTCATTGTCTGGAAATCTAGAGCTCCCAAAACGATGCCTGCAAAAGCCCAATATGCAAAACGCCGCTCCCCAATCAGCACCAGTACCAAAGAACTCGGCAAACTGAGCGATTGTGCAAAGTGGTCGAGGTAGCGGCGGCAGACAAGGCCCTGCTCTTCTTTCAGCGAGTGTTTCCCAGACCCTCAGATCTTGTCCCAGCCAAAACGGAGGAGTGCATCAATTGCTCTGCTGAATTTCCATCCGTCTTCGTGGATGATTTCCCCCGTGGTCCCTCTTGTCGAACATGGAGGTGGGGGGAGGGCGTGGGCGGTTCGTCTCAACATCGTCTGTCTGCACTGTCACCTCATCTGAAAAAAAACAGAGTCTTCCCAAAGTGTGATTGAGCGCTGAGTTAAGTGGTCGACGGTGGAGAGCTTTCTTGGCTTCTTTCGCCTGATGAGGTGAGGTGGGGCACAGATGCCCGTTTCTGCATCGGCAAGCAGATGCACTCCGCGCCGGGGATTCTTTCCTTTCAATTAGTCCCAGCAATCAATGCAATCTGTGTTTGGTAATCTGCAGCTCTGTTGTTCTGGCAGAGGAAAAAACACTTCGAGAAGGAAAGACGGCTGGAGAGTGGATGAAAAGTAGCTGCAGGAATCTGAAAACATACCATAAAAAATAGTTTTCGAATAGGTTAAAAGGTTTTTGCATTGATTGATTCATTATTCACGTCGTTATTGTGCTGCTATGTGAGCATATTGTGCTGACTTTTTGACCTGTATGTTGAAATAAGCGGCGTCCATGATTTCCAAAAAGAATATTAAATATCAAATTTTGATTAATCAGACTTCTAGACATTTTTCTGGCATTTCTAGATCATATATGATTGGTTCAACATCATCAACAGTACATATAGGGTCCCAGCCATAGTTCTAGCCATCAAACATCTTTTTAACTTTGCCTGGTTTCCTTGGTTAAGAGACCAAACACAACTCACCCACTCTCCTCCAGCAGCCGCTTGTTTGTGGGGGAACCCTGACGAGTCGATCACCAAGTGCAGCGGAAAATTTATGATTATTTCTTTATGGAAATGCAATCAGACCGAGACACTAATGCAGAAGAACTACCGCGTCTGCATTGCACATACAAGATACACAAGAACTCTGATTGTATTCTTGCTCAAACAATCAGAGTTTAGTTGAAAACACAGGCGTAGTCGCAAAAGTGCAGTAATGGTGGTATTTATGTATAGCATGCCTTCCAAGGTCCAAAAATGCAAAGGTGCAAAAATGTTCAAAACAGTATTTACAATATGTACAAGGAAAAAAAAAGGCAAGAGTTTATTCATTTACTTTATTTATTCATTTATTTAGCACAGATTAAAAACAGTGCAAGGAGGGAAAGAAGCTCATATGCTTATACAGAGTTCCACTCCCATCAGGGCAGTGATTAGGGAAAGATCAAACAGATACAGATAAATAGAACATGGACTAATCATCAACCAGCCCAACCAGAGATAGAGACAATGTAAGTATATATAAGAAGAAAAGAAACATATTTTAAAGGATTTGAAGGATAATATTGATTTTAAGAGATACATCCAGATCATTCCATAGTTTCGGCCCTCTAAAAGTGATATTAGACTGATGACAAGAAGTTCAACAGAGAGGTGACTGAAGATGGCCAGTGTGTCTTGTTGAGTACGGGTGAAGGCCAGATGAAAAGGTTAAAAAGTTTTGGAAGGAGTCAGGAAGGTCTTGTTTCCTATTTGTGAACTTATGGACAAACAAGCAAGAGTGAAAGACATTGAGTTTGTCAAGATTGAGTATTTAGAAAAGAGAGGTGCAGAAAAAACCCAAACGTTGGGACCCAAAAATTAAAATGAAATGAAATAAAAATAACACAGTGGCTATACAAAGATCAGCTCAGCAGTTACCTTTGATGCAACCAAATCCAGACTAAAAGAAAGAGCCAGGCATTCTTCTTTCAACCCCCCTAAGCCATCCTATTGAGCGTTATTAATTACATAAGTTTGGAGAAAAAAAAAAAATCATTCATATCGAAACCATTTAAATACTTTTCAATTTTCACAGTAGGTTTTTACCAATTTTACTAGGATTTCACACCAGACAAAAGAGCATGAATTTTTAGGGATTTATTGCAAACAACAAGGGCTCCATTTCTCCCGCGTCATGTGACCAATTTGACCCGACACACCCACTTATTTACCACATGGAGATCATGTGCACAGTTTCCTCGTTTGGAAACATGTGCAGACATGACGACGTGAATGGACGCAGCTCTGTCTTACGTGGACAGGGGTAAAAAAAAAACTTTTTCAAGAATGAACTCAGACGGAGACAGCTTATATGATAATGGTAATTTGTGTTAGTCATGTAATTGGAGTCCTGTAGCTAAAGAAAATCACCATTGTTCACCAATGTTCTTCTTCAATCAGCCCGGAAAAAACACGTTATTATTAGATCATGTTTGTACTCTGGCGTCTTTTTTTGCATATGGTGACTCATGCAGTCACTTCCACTTCGGGGTCATAGAAAATATATAAGGGAGAGTGGGGTAAGATGAGCCATTTTTCATGTGTCGGATCACTACATCAAGGCAGTCATAGTTTAGTCTCTAACTAGTGTATCTGCTTATATTTCAAGATGTTGTGCATCCCTGCAAACCAACAGAATGAGTGTAAACATAAACTGTCTTGATAATATAGCAAGCCTAAAAAAGTGGTCTCCTATGGTCAACTTACTCCATGTATGGGGTAAGTTGCTCATAGATACCACAATTGATGTATAAAACCAATTTAAAATTATCTTTTTTGGTCTGAATGCATTTCTAATAAAACTTCTGACAGACTAAATTCCCTGTCAAGAGTGAAAAATGTCTTTTTGTAAATAAATGTCTAACTCCTTCACCCATGTGCTTCTAACCTTCACAGACTCCATGAATTGATGCCCATCTCCTAAATATTTGGTCACATGATCAATTTATTTTACCATTTCCAAGCAACAGTGGGTGGCTCAACTTAACCTTTTGGCTCAACTTACCCCACTCTCCCCTAAATACATAGGACAAAAAACAAAAAAAACAAACCACATAATAGGGCCCGATCAATATGGATTTTTCGGGCCGATGCCGATTATTAGGGGGTAAAAAAATCTGATTACGATTAATCGGACAATGTTTTAATTTTTTTATTTACGCCGCTTACGATCGGTGCCTCCATGTCTTAACTCACGTTACTCATTTCCAGTCTGGTCTCATCTGGAGACGTGCAGCTGCCTCAGTAAGAGAAGTAGCTCGATCACGTTATGTGTACTGTTGTTTATTCTACCGTTACTGGCACGGCTAACAGTGTAGCAAAGCTAATAGCAGATGGCTAACTCTCAGGTTAGCTTGCATATTACATGGCGCTTCACCATTAACTCGGCGTGACCGAGACCAGCACAGCGGGGAACATCGTGAAGTGGGTTGAACTGAAACTTGTTGACTTATTGTGTATTTCACAAACTTGTTTATTCACCGTTGAGATGGACCACTCTCCTCCGTGCGTCCCTGAGCTGCCTGCTTCAGATCTGTCACTCTGCTGTGCTGTGAAGTAGTTAGTGGATGAAGATTGTCATGAGGTCGCTGCGCCATCTACAGGATAAGTTGGGGAACTTTTCAAATAGCGGAACATTTTTGAAGTGAAACCGAATCTTATTCTCCGCATTTTATTTCTGAAAATATCAGCGAAAATCAGTTTTGGCCGATTACCAATTCGTCTCAAACGGGCTTAAATTGGCCGATATAATCGGCTCGCCGATAAATCGGTCGGGCCCTACCACATATTCAAGTCATGTTTTATTTTCATGCAATGCTACCTGGACCTGACGATCATGGACATCTGATATTTGTTTTTAGCCTTGTAGTTTTAGCCTAGTTCTAGCAGATGATAAAACTCTCGAATCCTTTTCAGTTTTATGCCAAGGAACATCACATTAAAACTGTTGAGATATTTGCAGTAGCAGTCTCTGATCTCTCCCTATTATCACCTTTGAGAGACTCAGCCTCTCTGGCTCTTTAACATTTGGTCTCTTTGCACAACTCCAATTAAATGTATCATTTAAATGATAAGCTAACTATCACATCAGCTTTTTTTTTAGAATCAACACAAACTTTTATGTACTTGAAAAGGAAACTCAAATCTGAACTCCAATCAAATTGTTGACCTGGCGAGTGAAGGCGCATAGACGTGTGAAAATGTCTAAAGTTTTGTCCTAATTTGGTGAAATCCCCTTGAATAAGAACTGTTTATCAGATCTTTGAACGGTGCTATTAGTCTGCCCTACTTCAAGCTAAATTAGAGCCAACTTATAACACAGCAGAACCACTGGGGATAGGAGGAAATGGGTACCTTACAGCATTTCTTTATCACCCAGAGGTCATTTATAGAATTCCTTAATTTATGTTTCAACCGGTCTTCCCTGTGATCCATTAAAAACTGGCAAAGGTTCTTAGTGCATGTAAGCGTGCTCTTACATCTTAATTGATTTGTTTGTTGATCTCTACCTGGAGAGTAAGCAAAATGGATTTTCCATCGGATTCTAGCAAGCTGGCCACCCGTCATGCAAATGGGGGAGATGTTCCTCCTGCACAAAGCCGTGAGAATAAATCACGCATTATGCGGTAGCACCATTCTGCATTAATCTCAATGAAAACTACAGTATGCAGTGTCGTTGTATCTTGATGGTACTCTTCCAGCTTTGCATGAGAGGAATATTCAAATTTGCATAATATCAACAAGAGAATGCGGATTCCATTAAAAAAAAGGCATGTTTAAGGAGGGGGTCTTCAATCATAAATGCATGCAGAATGTGCAGACTGTGATATGTTGGCTCAGAGAGGTTGTTTCAGAAATTCAGCGCTGTTCAGTTTCATCAAAATCAGCTCTAAAGTGACATACCTTAACACTGTTTAAGCCTTATGATTTTTCCCTCCCTCTGACCTTTTCCAAACCACCTTCTTGCTCCGTTATAATCCATTTCATTAGTTTTTGTTGCCTGTAACTCTGTTTTTTTTCTGCCTTGATTTCATTAGATTATCTCTGCTTGACCTCTTAGATTACATGGATGGATCCACTTCAGTGGATAGGTGAAGGTGCCGACAAAGCCGAGACCTTCTACCCTCTAATCAGATGGGCTCTTCCTCCGTCAGCTGGTCGAATTTTAAACCATCAACTTAATTCCCCTCAGTGCTGGTGAGTGTCTTTGGCCTGTCTGGCATTTTCCAGATATGTTGTTTTAAGCCTGGTTGGTTGGTTGGCCTTTGCCTTTATCTGACAGGACAGTGGATATGTGGGGAAGTAAGAGGGGTTGACATGCCTCAAAGAGCTGGGGGTCAAAGCCTAACCCAAGGCTTCTTAGATGAGGTCTCTATTTCTGGATAAAGGGCACGCACTCTACCAAATTAGCACACTTAGAAAATATCACCAACCGCAGTTAAATTTTAATCACCTGGAAGTATCTATGTTTAGATGTCCTTTGGTAAAACTTAGCTGTGAGAAAGAGGATTTTAAAATCGACAGTTAGCGTTTTGGTTGATAAAGGAGAGGGTTCGAAACTAACTTCTCTACCTGGTAGCACCAAAGCGTCTTCTTTAACAAGTTTAGGAGCAGCCACCGAAAATTAAATCAAATCAACAAATTGTATCAGTCCGACTGAAACTGGACTTTCTAAAGCACTGTGAACATGTTAGCTGGATGTTGCGGATAGGGATCGATTTCCTCTCTTATATTTCATCGTAACGAAACCTGTCCAAGCATTCTGTTCATGCTCTACAGTTTGCATGCCTGGACGTTCAAGAGCATAAATGCCGGGGACAGACAAAGAAAGGATATTAAAAAAGACGATATTTGTTTGTTTTTCGTCGTTAGCCTCACACTTCGGCATTTTGTTGATCGCTTCAGAACGTAATAAGTCGACAGGAGAGGACCTGGTGGTATTTAGCTAAAAGGGGGCCACAATGGAGGATTTGATGGATGTTTTCTTGGTGAAAGCTGCCATCTTGGCACCGTTATGTTGTCTGTGGTTGGGTCAGTACATCTTGCAAACTGTTTTAGAGCTATAGTGTGTTTTTCTGTAACTTTTGTCAGGGTTCGTTGTCAGTCAGTGCGTTTACGCGCACAGCTTAATCGGACTAAGCTCATAATTCGTTTTTTTTTTTTTCAGACATCTCTCCTCTTTCTCAAAACTAGGGGGCGATATGGGTCTTTTCAGCGGCACTGTTTCCGGACCTTTTTTAAAGATGTTTCCATTCTTCGTTTTGCGACCGTCCATATACTTTAAAATGTCCATTTCTGTCAGGACGGAAAGCATAACGGCACTCTCCACGTCATTCCAAAAGTTGACATTCTTTCGTGCTTCAGCCATGCTGCAGTTGCTTCTGAGTCGAGAGTTCTTTAAACGATAGTGCTGCATTTTCTCTGGCGTTTTCGTTCCAGGGTTATGGGATCATAATCAGACAACGCTGTTTACATGGTAGAGAAAATCGAATTCCAATCGCATTTTCTGGGTGTCTTAATCGGAGTTCTCCGACTCCAATTGGAGTTCTCAAACTCCGATTATAGTTGGACTAAGGTGTTTACATGCACTTCAGTTGTCCGGTCTTAAGGTCCTTACACACCGGGAATAACGCAAATATACAACGCGAAATTACGAAATATTCACAGACTAATTTTGACGCGCCTGACTATACACATCAAGCCCGATGCGATTTTGTGACTTTCCAAAGGAAAAAAAAAAGCGTCCCAGGTGGGAGCGAGAAGACTGACACAACAGCAGACTGACTGTTTTTCAGTTCTGATTAGACACTAGTGTTGAGATGTCTGTCTGTCATGATAACATGTACTGAGTCGGGGCCAGTACCAGATAAGCACTTTAAACTATAATCCATAAACGTAAGGTAACAACCGAGACCTAATGGTGCTGTGACAGCAACGCCATTGAGTTTGAGACAGTGAAAATACATATGGTATGTTGTATCTGAACAGGTTAGCTTACGAGCTAAAGTTACTTAGCACAGATGAAAGTTAAAACAAAGACGTTTAGCAAACTGTTAAAGCACACAAACCATCGTCATATGAGAAATCCGACGCTATGACTCTCCACAAGTTGTCTTTCAGGTCGTTATCTTTGTAATATTTGTGTTTTTTATCAAAAAGCACTCTGTTCTCCGACACGTAAACAATCAGCCGGTCGGCCATGTTGGATATACCGGTGAATCTGACGTCGCAACAACACGAAATCCGATTGGTCAGAAGTGGACACACAGTATGCAAAACTTTAGAAAATTCGACTGTGATATGAAAAAATAAATGCCGCAATATCGCAGGACGGGAAAACGTTGCTGATGTAAACGCTTGTATTGACAGGATACAGGTTTGAAAAAAAATATTGATGTCCAAAATAATTGCACGAAAAAAAACGCTCCTGGTGTGTAAGGACCTTTAATCGGAGTAAGGCAATAATTTGTTTTTTCTCAAGTGACATACATACTGAGTGAGGGGTTAAACGAATGAATTGGAGTCAAATTATTGAGGGCTCTACCTCCCATACTATTTTTTTTTTATATTAAAGCAAGCTAGAGCCTTAAAAAGGGCAAAAACAGCTGATGTACCTTAACCACCAAGACCTATGTTGTCAAAAAGGGAGGGAGGATTCAAATCTGATTAAAGATTTTAAAGCGTTGCATATTAGTTATGTATTAAACAACAGGCATTCAATGGTATATTGGTGCAAAAATATCCCATGATCTCACTTGAGCGAGTGTTATTTCTTCATTAGCGACAGTCCAAAGGGAGTAATTACCAGATCTGCATTAATGTGGAATTCTAGGCTGTAATAGCCTGGGGAAATACTTTTCCAGGGCATAATGAAACAGCTATACATCTATGTCAACTAACTATTTCACCTGAGAGGAACTGCAGCCATGAAAAAGCATTCTGGGAGAGTGTTGTTTAGTGGGAGAAAAAAGCAATTAAAAGTGACTACACAAACATAATAAATGAGCTAGCTGACACCTGGAGTGTGACATTATCTGTATTGTTTTAGATTAATAGCATCGGCAAACACTATTCATTTAATTTAACATATCACTTCACCTCTGCGTTACAGTGTGACTTAATAGGAACTAAAGAAATGAGTGTGACCCTAAGTGTGAAATTAGTACCCAGACATCTCCTGTCTCTGCTCACATGAGAGATGATGGTTTCAGTGATCATGATGGATGTACATTGTTCGGGTGATCCAGCGTGGTTATGATGAGATTGATATGCTAATCTGTAGATGAAATGAGCTCGCATTTTTGTTCCCCTCCGATACTCGGAGAATTTGCAAACTTTGGATTTGACTGTTTCCTCGCACCCCCCCCCTCTCTTTTCTGCATCACTCATCTGTCTTGAATTATGAAGAAACAACCCCTCCATCTCTTACGTAAGCTGACATTTTGGAGTTCAAAAAGTGAACATGCCGTGGAGGGTTTGCTGTAGGATTTATGATAATGAGTATTTTAGTCTGATTAACATAAGAAAGTGTGTTTCAGAATGATTGATGAGGTGAAATATTGGGAAGTGTTGCACAGAATACTGATTTTTTTGTCGTATTTGTTCCCTTGAGAAACTGTCTAAGAACTTCTCCCATGTGGACTCCTCTAAATGTTCCCGAAAACCAACATAAACTCATCTCACCCTCAAAAAAAAACTCGTCGTACACAGTGTTAGAATTCAAGTTAAGTTGAAGGTTTTTTTTTTAAATTGAAGTGCTGCTTCTCCTCATAGCTTAGGCTACTTTCATACTTTTGGGTAGATACCGCTGTAATTCCCATGAAATAAGCAGGTTTCCAGAATGTGCCATATCTGTCCAGCAAAAGGTGTTATTCAAAATACTGTTATTTACCGAGAGAGTATGCAGAGGCATTGGCTGAGGATTGCTTATCCCTCAGGGTAGAACCTGAGTGTGTATCACAGTCTTTGGCATCATTTTAATGTGAGTTTGGAAATTTGAACCTCTTCACACATTGGCTCTGTTTGGAGCTTTGGGGTTTTATTAACTTATAACAACACTAAACGTAACTACAGGGTTCCTATGAAAAGTATGAAAAGTATGGAAGTAATTTGATCAATTTCCAGGTCTTAAAAAGTATGGTAAATGAAAAATGAAGTATGGAAAGTATTTAGGTTTCCAGACTATTACCACAGTAAAAATAAATAATAATAATAATAATAAATACTGTTTTCTAAAATAGAAAAGTAGGTATTTCCAAAAATAATTCATAAAAGTAGTGTATGAAAAATTATGGAAATTCCAACTGTGTAGGACCCCTGTAACTACAATCAAGTTTGCATTACCTGCATGCTATTCAGTATTAGCGTTTGTAAGCATCATTACATAAACTTAAAGCTCCTGTGAGGAACTTCTGGTTTTTATAAAGTTTGGCGCCCCCTGTGGACATACTCGAAAATACAAAATCTTCAGAGGCAACACTGGCACCTACCCCCCACATCAGTTTCAGGCATTTAAATCACACTTTAAATTATTAAAAATTAAACTATTTTATAAACATTAAAAAACTCTTTATAGGAGCTTTAAACAATCAATTTTAACATTTAGAGCTCCTGTAAGGAACTTAAATCACTTCAGCTCTTGTAGCGCATTGTTACAAAAATAATAATCATATCATCCTGCTGACTTTTGACAGTCAATTTATTGTTAATATTTGATGTAATAAGTGTAAAACAGGACGTTTTCTTCAGCCGCTCAGTTGACACCTACCCCCTCAGATTTTTAGGTATTAAAAATGACCGTATGAAATTTGTCATTCTTATTACTAATGGTGTGGCTTACTTTTGTGTCTTATTAGAAGGTATCAAAATGAGTTTCAGTTGATTTCATACGTGTTAAAAAAAACTCCTTACAGGAGCTTTAATGCAGTATTGGCCCAAATATGAGACAACCCCAATCCCTCCCCAACTTTTTAAGACTTATTTCTGGGGATAAAAAACTTTTTCAAATATGAAACTCGCTTACAGAAATTGTTTGATTTTAATTGGAAAAATAATATATAGACACACTGAAAAATAAATAAATGCTAAGTTTTTATTTTTGATATTTTCTAAATAATAAGTGCAGAGATAGTGATACTAGAAGAAGCTTAAAGAAAAAAGTGATATTTCTTTTCTGTATTTGCTTTAATTTTAAAAACACAATTTGTGATTTTATCTGAAATAATAATAATAATTCGTCCATGAAATCAGGATATTTTGACATTATTTTAACATGGATACACACAGGAAAGATGAAAAACAAAATAGAAAATCACAAATCCCTTTAGCCTTTATCTTAAATTCATGATATTCATGTCAGACTAATACGGCAACCAGACCCAGACTCTTCCTGCTGTATAATTACAACCATCCTGATTAGAACCAGGATCTTATTTAGTCTGTGTGCGTTTTTTGCGGTACATAATCAAAGGCAATCATGCAGACACATCTCTGTCCTCGTGTAGCCCCACAATTGAGTGACATAACGACAAAAATGACACCGTTACCCTTAAATTCACACATAAATCCTCACAGATTGCTTTTATTTTTGAGGGATTATATTCAAATAGTCTCTGGAGATTTTTGGATGTTGCAGATGTTGAAGTTTTCAAGGTAAACAAATCTGTCAAACTCAGGTCAATACGGTACTTTTGTACAGCGTAAGTGGTTGAAAGTTCATAGAGGCCGAGTTATCAAGGATTTTTTAAAGGCACAGTGTCTAGACATGGTCATATTAAACAATCAGAAGGTTAACTCAACACACTTTAAGAATCAAATTAATATTCGGGTCATAGAGACTTTTTGACCTGCCAAAGGTCCTCGAGAAAAAGTTCAGAAATCAATATGCTTTTATAACTTGGAGCGCAATAGGAATGTCACAAATTTTAGGCAATCCATTTAATAGATGTCATGACATTTCACCAAAAAACCACAAATGTCAGACTTTGAGTGATGCTCAAAGCAAAAGATGAAATATCACAGGAATCGTGGATGTCTGGACCAACTTTTGGGCCAATCCTTCAAGGAAAGGGTCCTCACGTTAGTACTTACATTAGTACCCCAAAGACCTGACTGCATTGGCTATTGAAATTGGTATTTGTGTTGCTTGTACTGCTTTTAAGTTTTTGCACCAATTTGCACTTTCCTTTCTCACCTTGAGTGGGGTACACACGTAAAGATAATTGGGCTGTTTTTGTCCAGATTTTCGCCCTCCCGACCAAGGACGACAATCAGAAGAATATCTTATGTCCTCTAAGATTATCCTGTGGTCTGAGGTGTATTAAGAGTGAACTCGTCCCGATAATTGGGTCCGTCACGTGTGTGGGGAAAGCCGACGACTCCCGAGTCATGACTCCATGAATTGTCACGTGAAATGGAATGTAGCCAATCAAGAAGCGAGCTGACTGAGGAGCTGACAAATAAACAGCAAACGAATGGCTTAAACACAAATTACCGTGCACAATGTCTGTTTTTTGATGGCTGCCAGATTTAATTGTGTTACTAGGATAATCACACCAGCCATTAGCTTAATTTGAGAACAAATCACCTCTAGCTCGCTCAGTTGACCATAAAGTCCACGTTCACACTGGATTTTTTCCACGGTCTTTTTTCTTTTTTAGTTCAGGATTTTTCTGTCAAAAGTACTCCCAAAGCCGCCATTATTCCCTCCTCTTGTGTGTCCTCTTTAGGGCCCGACCGATTTATCGGCGAGCTGATTAAATCAGCCAATTTTAGCCTGTTTGGAACTACTTGGTAATCTGCCAAAACTCGCCAATTTTCACCAATGTTTTCAGAAATAAAAAGCAGAGAATAAGATTCGGTTTCCCTTCGAAAATGTTCCGCCATTTGAAAAGTTCCCCGACTTATCCTGTAGATGGCGCAGCGACCTCATGACAATCTTCATCCACTAACTACCTCACAGCACAGCAGAGTGACGGATCTGAAGCAGGCAGTTCAGGGACGCACGGAGGAGAGTGGTCCGCCTCAACGGTAAATAAACCAGTTTGTGAAATACACAATAGTTGAAAATAGTCACACAGTAGTTGAAAACACTTTTCTGGTCCAAGTTTGATCAGTCGGTCTTCCTGTGGGCGGGAAGAGCAGTAGCCTTCAGTAAATCTACAGTATGTAGTATATAGTATACAGTATATAGATTTATATAAATATATTTTATAACTTCATAAAAAATTGTCAAAAAATCGTCCGATCAATCGGATGTTTTTCGGCCTCAAAAAATCCATATCGGTCGGGCCCTAGTCTTGTGTTTCCGGTTGTTGCTATATTTCTTCTTCTGTGTTTTTGTGAGATCACGTTTTATCACGCGAGATTTCTGTCTTGGAGGACTAGATTCTAGATC